AGTGTGCCGTAGAAACTGATTTATAGCATCTGTAGTCATCTTGAGCCCTGACCTGTGTTGCAGGCAGTATTCATTGGCACTAAATGGTGTGACAGCTCATGCAGTTCAAAATGTAACATTGTGTGTTCAAAACCTCTGCTGCAGTGAAGTCATGAGAATTCCAGAAGCAGTTTGGACTCTATACATTTGACTTTGAATTAATTTTCAGTTGTTACATGTTGACAAACCTTTTATTCTTGCCACATTTTTTATGCCTCTTCCCATTCAGTTCCATGCTGTTATTAGTATTTTAGGGAAAATGCAGAATTAATGTCCCTTCTCTCATTTTTTATTTTGTTTGGGGAAATGGAAATAATGGGCATTGCACAAATGCCCAAGATTACAACATTGTGAAAGGAATACTTGTCTCTTAATTCTACCATCAGCCATCTAATTTTCATAGACATAGCCATGTTAATCAGTTTTTTGTGTGTCATTCCTGAAATACTTTATGCATAAATATACAAACATTTAGATAGCATATGTTTTTACAACATTATATAAGAATGTTTTGACCTGGCCATCAGATTCTTCTTTCCTGGATCTATTCCTCAGAAAATTAGGTAGATGTTTTAAATGGTTGTGTATGCTCATGTGTGCTTCTTTAGAGCTAGAGGTTGATGTTGGGTGTCTTCCTTAGTCACTCTCCACCCTCCCCTGTGACCCTTATTTTTGAGAGACATGGTCTCACTGTGTAGATCTGAGTGATCTGGAACTCTTGCTATGTGCTACCCATCTGCCTCTGCCTCCCAAATGCTGGGACTAAATGAATGTGCCACCTGTTCTTATTATTTTGAGACATGCTTTTTCTCTGAACCTGAATGTTCACTGCCTGATTTGACTCATTGGTCAGTGAGTTTCAGGAATCTGTATGTATGTGCTGTACTGTGCCTAGCTCTTTATGTGAGTCCTGGGGGTCCCAGCTCAAGTCCTCGTGCTCTTAAATAAGTGTTTACGGACTGAAACATTTGTCCAGCCCTAGTTGAAATAGTTCTACTTTTCTTCTGCATTTATCAGAGATATGCAGCATCTTTCTATAAACATTCTTCTAAAAACACTAATGTCTATTTAAGATTTTGATTATTTTAGTACCTCACATTTTGTCTTTGGGAACTTAGAGGGCATTACTATACTCTAATCATTCACAATATCTGCTTTCTGTTATTTTTCAACTCATTTATCTTATTTTTAAAAAGCAAGCAGAGGAGTGTCGAGATGACTCAGCAAGTGCTTGCAGCATATGTGTGAGCTGAGTTCAGATGCCCCAGCATTGCAGGGTGGCGGTAGGCAGATTCTGAGCAGCGCTCACCAACCAGGCAGTATAACCAAAGCAACAAGCGCCAGGTTCAGTGAGAGAGTCTCAGAGGATGTGAACAACTGAGGAGAGATACCCAGCATTGAGTTCTGTGACTTCCCACATGCATGTACTAGTGATTGTACCTGTGCTCACATACGTATAACTCTCTCCCCATACACTACTGAATAAAAGCAACCAGTAAACCTTAAAAGACAAGTATAAAAAACTAGTGAAAACTAGACAAGTAACTTTCTGATTAGTTCAAAACTTAGTTTTACTCTTAATGTCTGCTGTGCAAGTTCATCTCAGCATCTCAGTGATGAAATTCCAGGAGCATTCCAAGGATAGACAGAAGCATGCTCAGGAGAAGGGGAGATGGGACAAGGAATCCCAGAACCACAGTACACAGAGCTGTTGAGCCTGGAAGAACTGTATTTCCAGTTTATTTTTTAGGGTAGGACAAATAGAAACTTATCTCTTAACTCTGCTGTTCAGGGTGTTGGAATGTTAACACAAAGAAAAAAGTCAATAGGTTTCATTCTCAGGAAAAAGAATCGTTTACTTGAGATTTCAGTTGGGGTTATTATTAGTCTTGCTTGGACACCTGTGTTTCTGTCTGACTTTAGTTATGTGTGTGTGTTATACAAGTGCGTTTGTTTGTAGAGACCACAGATCAATCTTGGATAGTGCTTCTCAAGTTCTGTTTTAAAAGATATTCTCTTAGCCGGGCGATGGTGGTGCACGCCTTTAATCCCAGCACTTGGGAGGCAGAGGCGGGCGGATCTCTGTGAGTTCGAGACCAGCCTGGTCTACAGAGCTAGTTCCAGGACAGGCTCCAAAGCCACAGAGAAACCCTGTCTCGAAAAACCAAAAAAAAAAAAATAAAAAAAAAAATAGTCTCTTACTGGCTTACTGGCCTGGAATTAGCTAGCCTGGTTGGCCAGTGAGCCCCAGGCATTGCATTGTAACAACAGTATGTAAGCGTAGATACTTTTTCTTGTTCAGCATGTTCAGTTACAGTTGTATTTTTTTTGAAATTGATTCTGAAATATTGTCTGGCTTTTTACTTGTGGTGTATTTTCTAAGTTATGGATTACATAGAAAAACTAAAATAAATTATAGATTAAAAAGGGCAAAATCCTTTTTGTAGCAGGTTATGGGATTCTTTTTTTTTAAAGTAACAGCTTTTTTATTGATTTTATTGAGTCTACATTTTTCTCTGCTCTGGTTATGGGAGTCTTAAGTGTTGTTTATTATACTATAAATCGGCCCAGTGTGAATTTAAGATGGTAGTGGGATTTGAATTTAGAGCGCAGCAAGCTTGGCTAGTGTTTACCACTGAGTTCATATCCCCAAGAACAGACTGAATCTAATGGCTAAAGTAAATAGTGTTAACTTTACAGTATGTTCTATCTAGCTGGCATATCATAACTATGAAATGCATAGTTCCTTTATGAGCCTCAATACACTATATGTTTTTATAAGTATCAACAACATTGGCTTTGTATTCTATATGATCTTGTAGTATTTTGAAAACATTTTCTAGAGTCAGAGTATTTTTTGTTTGCCAGATGCTTGTTTTTTTGTGTTTTTAAAGTCTTAATTTCAAAATGAACTCATTTTAAAGTATCTTTTTAAAAGTGTTAATAAAAATATTGGCTTATAATCCATACATCTCCCTTCTTCACATTGGAATACTGGGTGAAATAGAAAAAGGTATTGACAGATAATGTTATAACCTCACTATTATAAGATAATATTCACAATTCTTAGTATATTTGAATTTTTGATGGCTTGGGTACAAGTATTTTCCTCTTAGAGAGTAAAAACAGGTTTTAAAAGTGTGTTTTTCAGGAATGTGGGGAAAATGTGTTTTTAAGAACGATGTCTAGTACTTATAGTCTGGCTTGATTCCCAGAAACTAGATGGTAAAAGTGAAGAAATCTCATTGATAACCCCAGCTTACATTTCTTCCTGGTTACAATTCTTAGTATATTTGAATTTTTGATGGCTTGGGTACAAGTATTTTCCTCTTAGAGAGTAAAAACAGGTTTTTACAGTATAATGCTTACTTTTTTCTTAAAAGAATTTTTAATCTTTATTTGTTAGGGATAGAATGGGTACAAGGTGCTACAATGTATCTGTGGATGTCAGAGGACAGCCTGCAGGGCTTGGTTTTCTCCTTCCACCATGGGGGTTGGAGATGTATCTCAAGTTACTTAGATTTCGTTTCCTTTATGTTGAAAGGACTAAATGATAAAAATATTTAATTTTTTATCTCTTTTAACATTTTTTTACACTGTTTCCACCTGCATCCCTTCTCAAGAGGAATAGCAATCTTGTTTACCTGAGAGCCAGATTTGAGTGTATGCTGGGACCTTAGACACCAGCAAGCCTTCAGTTGTGAGAATTTATGCTTATTTTTACTTAAAGGAAAATACCTCTTTGTCCTCTTTAGAGCTTCAACTCAAGACCAGCGTCAAGATAGTTCTTAAACTTAAATTGTTTTCTCAGGAGTTTAGGGTTATGTTTGGGAAATCAGGACAAAAATATTACATTGTAAAAACTGAATCTCTAATTAAAATAGTTAAATGCAAGTTGTCTGTAAATTATATAATATTAAAATATTTTGTCTGTGAATCTTGTATTTGTTTGTAGTGTGGTAAAATATCAAGGACATGCTATTTGGCTAGCTACCATTTGTAACTATAAAAATCTAAACTAAAAAGAAACTATAAAAATCTAAAAAATGATTATACAATTATTTTATATTTTCTGAATTCTTAGAGTTTAGGGAAGAGGTTTGTAATGGGTTTGTTATTAGTTTTGTGTATACTGTACCCAAAGAAATGAACTCGTAAGTAGAAAAGCATAATTTAGCTGGCAGTTCTGAAGGCTCCAGTCCAGGAAGGCACCTTTCTGCTCTTGGCGATATTGAAGCCAGAGGATGGTAATGGTGTGCATGTGGGGTGCATGGTGAAGTCAGCTGTTATACCATGATCTCACTGGGCTCCACTTATAGGCCCCACTACCTTCCAGTGGTGCCACTTTGGGGAGTGAGCCCTTAACAAGTAGACTTTTGGGGAATACTTAAACTACAGTGGTATTCTGTGCACTTCTGACCTTGTATATAAAATTGAGCCATTAAGGCTCAAAGGTGGTTTTGCTTTGTTTAAGGAAAGCTTTCATTGCACAGCAGCTAATCTACTGTGTGGAATTTAGGTTAGCCCTCTCTCTTTACCAGGCTTGCATCTTCTTGGCTGTAATTATGAAAATCCTAGAGTAAACCCTGTAGTAAATTTGATCTTAAGTTGTTAGTCCAGGAAATGGCAGCACTGTTCAAATGTTCCATTTTTGTAAACATTAGAACTACCCACAAAATGCCAGGAATTTCATTTTTAAGTAGTAGGTAGGGTTGCTTTCACAGAAAAAGACATTTGAGAAATCATGGAGTCACATGCATATAGGATTAGAGGATTGAATATAATGACTCTGCTTGGAACTTAAATAATTAACCTTGTAGTTAGGATTTAAAGTATTATCTTAAAGAGGAGAATATATGTTGGAAATTGTAACTGTTTTGCAGGGTTCATTTATGTGTGTGTGCCAGAATTACTTTTGTTCATGTGAATAATGAAAAGACCTGTCTTCTTTTTTATTACAGTGCATGCAAGATATGGGAAATACTAAAGCAAGACTACTTTATGAAGCCAATCTTCCAGAGAACTTTCGAAGACCACAGACAGATCAGTATCCTTTAAATTTTGTATATTGTATGTTTAAAAGAGTTAGCACATTTTTACCATTAGTATTTTATGTTCGTATTGAGGAAGATGTGAAGTGTATTATGGTAGCATTAATTAAAGATGGAAATTACATGCATGATAGTGCATACTTATAATCTCACCAATTCTGTGAGGTAGAGCTGTAAAGTACTAAGTTATGTGCCAACTTGTAGGTTTGATACATAGTAAGAACCTATTTCATGAAAACTAGGAATGAGTAATGTAGCCTGTGTAGAATGGCTTGCTCAGTATGTAGAAGAAAGTCCTGGGTTTGATCTCCATGTCCTAAAAAGAAAAAAGAAAGAGAATTGATTTGCCCTAACTATGCTTTGATTTTTGAGTAGTGAATATGTGTGTGTGTGTGTGTGTGTGTGTGTGTGTGTGTGTAGTAGTAGTAGTAGTAGTAGTAGGAGGAGGAGGAGGAGGAGGAGGAGGCGGCTTATTCGTTTCCCAGCCACCCAGATTGCCAAAATAATCACACAGAAATTGTATTAATTAAATCACTGCTTGGCCAGTTACTCTAGCACATTGCTAGGTAGCTCTTACTTCTTAATTAACCCATCTCCATTATTTTATATTTTATCATGAGGCTAATAGCCTACTTGCAAAGTTTCAACATGTCTGTCTCTGGCGGTGGCTCCATGGCTTCTCTTTTAACTCTGCCTCCTTTCTCCCAGCATTCAATTTACTTTTCCCTGCTTTGCACTATTCTACCCTATCACAAGCTCAAGACAGTTTATTAACCAAAGGTATCCACAGCATACAGAGGGGAATCCCACATCACCTCCCCTTTTCTGTTTAAATAAAAAGAAGGTTTTAACTTTAACATAGTAAAATTATGCATAACAAAGCAGGTATCAAGTAAGAATTACAGTTACAATATCTACTTTATCTTGTATCATGACTAAAGAAAACTATAACTATTCTTCAACTCCATCAAAGACTCCAGAAGGATATAATATTACCTAAGTAAGCAGGAAGTGCAATTTAAGCCACTTTCAAAACTCTAGAATTGACAGAGACATCTTGCTGCCTGGACAGTCACCCAAAGTTCTTCTGTACTGTTTGGGCATCCCTCTTCAGCCTACAGGCCCATAGCTTCCAGCAGACTTTTCCACAAAGCAAGAAATTTCAAAGATAGTTTCACCTATATTGGCAGTTTGTCGGTAACTTTCTTCTGTGTCCTGCTGAATGTCTTGCAGACTCTTTCATGAGGCAGGAACCGCAAAGGATGGTCTCACCTTTAGGCAAGTTTAGCAGTCATTTCTTTGTGGGTCTTGCATGTCGAGTTCATACATTACAACATCAAGCAGTCCAGGCAAGAGCAATTTGTTACCCAAATGGCTAACCAATACCATAAGGAGCCTCTTCGGTACCCATCTTCCTCTTGAAGTAGCTTGGTGCTGCCAGGAGCAGATGTGTCTCAATGTCATGAAAAGTCCTAAGTTCTTAGACATCTTAAAAGCCATATTCTATAGTCTTTGAAAGGTTTGAAGATCATCTATCTACCTGAAATATATCTCTATATATTTAGAAAACCTAATATGACTACAAGCTTGACTATTATAGATGATTATCTATTAACCTATATTTCTTAATTATACATAACATTTTAAAATAAGCTACATAAACATAATACCTTGATCAAGAACAACAAATTTGACTTTAAATTTGTATCAATAAACTCAGATCTATACCAGTGCAAATCTTTATAGCATATCCTCCTTTAAGTGTAAACAAACATTTATAAACAATCACTTAGGGAATTTGGGGGTAGTTCTTTTCAAACTGCTTTCTGCTTTTTGTTGGGTGAAGTAATTTTTGGACATGTTTATGGCATCCTTTTGGGGGTGGGGGTTGGTCCATCAAACCACATTAGTCTGGAAGGATTCCACAGGTTCTCATCTTCTGTGGAAACAAAAGAAGAACCTCTTTTCCAAAGCAACATATCCTTAGATCCATATTTTGAAATCAAGATACCTTTAAAGTATATATGTTGGTTTTGCTTAGCAGTCCCCAGAATCAAATGTTTCTCTGCAGTCAAAAAATTCAAAGAAAAAACAATAATACACATAATCTAGACTCTGTGTATTTTTCATATTTTTGTGGCTTATTTGTTTTTACTCTATTATTTTTTAATATTTATTTTATTTTCTTTATTACTTTAATATACAACTGTCTGTACTCTTTAAAGACTTTTTTAAAATAAACCATTTACTTTTCCTCTTATAACTCGCTATACTCTTTTTCTTTTTCTCCCAAGCCTACATATATTTTTTAAACACACTGTGACTTGTTTAGAGTCCTTTTATGTCTGAATCTGTCCCGTTGTGGATCTGTAAATCTTTTCTGTCCAGGAGTGCTTCTTAAAATGCTAAGCACTTCTAAGACTGCTTTGCCTTTTGGCTCTGCCCAGTCCAACATGGTGGGACGGAGGTCTGTTTAATGTGAGTCAGGCTCACAGCCCCATTTTCAGACACACAACAGGTCTATGTTGCCATTAAGCAAGTTGTAGAACTCTGGCCACAAACTCCATTTAAATGCTTGGCTTCCAAAAAGAGCCAGTGTTTGTGCTGGCAGCATGGCCCAGGAAGCTGCTGTTTCAAAAAACTGTGGCTTTTTTTCTGCTACTGATGAATCAGGAAAACCTCTCTTAAAGGAGCGGAGTCTAGAAGAAAAAGGAAATACAGATTGGAGAGTCAGTGATAGACACCCTTTGTTGGGTTTGTGTGTGTGTGTGAGATACTCTCTGGAGTGGCCTTTCCTTCTCTGAAAGTGAAGGTGTACACAGACTCTGAAGAATAGCACATATTTGTAGAAGAAATGTAGCCAGGTAAACATATGAGAATCTGACATAGCTGTAGCCAGACATACTAAGTGATCTGTCAGGGTAAATACCACTTTTCCCAAAGCATTTACTAAATTCGATCATATTAATATGAGGTATTGATCTTTTTCTGTTTACAAGAAGATGGTCTTATAGTTGTTGGAAGGTGTTTAGGGAGGGACATTGTCTAAGCATATATGAAGTTTAGAGTAGAAGATGACGAGTCTTGGACTGTGAGCTTAGCCACCACGTGCCTATATAGCCTAAAAGTAAAGTTCAGGTACTGTAGTTCCAGCTACTCAGGAGGCCGCAGCATGACAGACTACATAATGAATCCTTTCTCAAAAATAATATTTGTCATCATTTTTTCTTTTACTCTAAAGCACTCTAAAGCACTGCTTTTTAGAGCAGTGGTTCTCAGCGTCCCTAATTCTGCAATCCTTTAATACAGTTCCTCATGTTATTTCATTGCTATTTCATAACTGTAATTTTACTACTGTTATGAATTGTAATATAAATAATCTGTGTTTTCTGATGGTGTTTCTTAGTCATCCCCTGTGAAAGGGTCTTTCAGTCCCCCAAAGGGGTCTCTACCTTCAGATTGAGAACCACTGATTTAGAGAGATTAATAAGAAAATCAGTTGTGCCTCCTTTCAGTCTGAAGCTTAAATTTCTTAGAAAAACTTAACACCAGGATGGGAATTATAGCTCAGAGACAGAATGCGTATCTGGTAGTATGCCTAAGGCAGTGGATTGGATTCCCAGGAAAGAAAGAAAAGAAAAGAAAAGAAAAGAAAAGAAAAAGTCAGTCTAGAGAGATGACTCAGTAGCTAAGAGCACTGGCTGCTCTCCTAGAGGATCTGGTTCAGTTCTCTGCATCCACGTGGCAATTTACAAGGCTGACCTTGGTTGTTAAAAAGCTCACATTTCTGTACCTTTATAGTTGTAAATACAATTTCATAAGGGAATTAAGTAAGAAAAAGTCAGTCTTCCTCTCTTTCTTCCTTTCTTTTTCTTTCCTTTCTTCCTTCCAGCCATCCTTGTAAAGCTTATGGGTCTTTGAGCAAAGTCTAATATCTCTGCACTTTTGTGGATATAAATATATAACCCTAGGCCACTGGAGCTAAACTGATTTAAATTCATATAACAGGGACCTTGTTACATTCTTAACAAGATTTCTTGCTCTCTCAAAGTTTTACAGTTTAGAAAGGTTGTGCAAATGCTACTGAAACTATCATTTCTCATGTGAGATGTGGTTACTTATAGCTTCATGTACTAGGGTACGGCAAAAGATAAAGCTTTACTTTATTACGATAAAGCTTTCCATTATTACGATATTTTGTCTTAACTAAATGTTTCAATTACTTCAGTTCCATGAGTTCTGTTGTACATCAAAACTCATTACCAGTTCTGTTTTGAGCTTTTCAAAGTTTTATAGCTGTTAGCAGTGTGAAACTGGAAGGTCTTGTTCTTGGGAACAGAAAAGAATTTAATATGTACTTCGAGTCGTATCTTTAAAGTGGAGGAGAGGGATCTGAGAATACATGTTTATCTTCATGTTTTATTTACTAAATCTCAAACAGCTATGTAAACTTGACTTGTAAGTAATATATTATTTACTTTGGTCATCTGAAAATACTATTATTGTATTTCCATTGTTGTTCATTTACATCAGTAGTATACCTAAGTCCTTATGTCTCAGTATCAAGAGACAGAAAAAGGATTAATGTGATATGGGATGTCCTTCTGAATATGTGTTGCTTTTACTGGTTGATGAATAAAGCTGTTTCGGCTAATGGCATAGCAGAGAACAGCCAAGTGAGAAATCCTAACAGAGATATATATATAGAGAGAATAGGTGGAGTCAAGGAGATGCCATGTAACTGCTGAAGGAGAAAGACGCCACCTCCACAGTCTCGTGGTGATACACAGATTAATAAAAATGGGTTAATTTAAGATGTAAGAATTAGTTAATAAGAAGTCTGAGCTAATAGGCTGAACAGTGTTGTAATTAATATAGTTTCTGTGTGATTTTTTTGGTTCTGAGCAGCCGGGGAATGAATGAGCAGTCTCCTACTACATTAATGCTTCCCGATCTCCAAATATATTGGCTTTGTTGTCATTTCTCATTTGTTTAAATTGGTTATCAGCCAACAGTTTTATAGTAGTTGGTATTTCATCCTCTACTACAGATCTTATATTTTAAAAACATTTTCTATCACAATATTTTTCTATTAGTTATGAGCTAATACTTAAAATGGCAGTTTGTACCATGCATTTTTTACTTACTTTGTACTTTACAGAGACTGACATTTAATTCTTATAATAATTCAATAATATTAGTTATAAATAAATTACAATGAATATTATTTTAAAGCTGATGAAACTCAGGCACAGAAGTATATAAATTAAAAACTAGCTTCATTTGTTGATTGCTTAAATATTTATATGTATTCTCAAAACTCTGACCAACCTGTGATGACAGCTTTTCCGTCGTGTTTTTATCTACTAAAGTATTTATTTGATAATTAGCCAACTTGAAAGTTAAGGAAATTACAAGTTAATAGTAGGTACCTAATAGATACACAAGTGTCTCCTTTTTATTGGAAACTGCTTTTGGGAGTTAGGCATTAGCATCAGTAGACATACAGTGAAAATTTCTTTTGGAAATGCCTGGAATGACAGTTTATAGACAGTTTCCTCTTTAAATATGTTATAGTCCTTATATCTAATAAGTATCTACTGAGTATCTTGTGTCCACATGTGCAATGGGGTGCATGTGAAGGTCAGGGGACAACCTGCTGTGATTGTGCTTTCCTCCTACAACATGGCTTCCTGGCTTTGAACTCACATTCTCGGGGTTGTTGACAAGCACTGTTACCCGCTGAGTCATGTTGCTAGCCCTTTAAATCCATTTTGGTTTTTTCGTCCGGAATATTAGAATAGAATTCATGAATGACTATAAAACTTTGAAACAAGGATCTGTTCTACAAATGAACTTTAGTTAGAATCCAGCCATACCCACCAGTAACAATATTCTGTGACTGCATGGACTCTTGTAGAGATAAGAGTTGAGTAGTTAGTCAAAACAGATCTCCTCTTGTAAATATCATAAAATATTTACCAGCTCCTCAAAATGTGCAGATCCCTAGAGTTTAGTCGTTATTTACGTTAGGTAAAATTAACAATGAAGAATTGGTTGCATTTAGTATTATGCACAAATACATACATACGTGCATGTGCACACACACATGCACAAGGACATGTGTGTGTGTGCTTCCTGAGTGTTTTTGCTAAGGGGTTCTTAGGAACTGAGAGCAGTCAAAACTAGCATAGCCATTCTTTAAGTCATTTCCTTGGAATTGAAAAATAGTTTTTTTTTTCCTCAATAGTTCTCTGTTAATAATTACGAAAGTTTTAATGATTTCACTACTCTTAATCTCTTATTTTTATTAAACAGTAGGAGACAGATCAACTTTGACCGTGTGTAATTTTTATATTACTTACTACATAGATAATTTCTGAGAAGCTTTCTTGTTAAAAGTGGAAACCTTAGTTTCAGTTCCTGAATTTCTTCATTCCTCACCTTTGCAAGAAAAAAAATGACCACTGTTTTAATAAATAGGAAATTCTGAGTGTCACCAATTCATGAGATAGCTGGTAAGGTAGGGAAAAAATCATGTTAGAATCAGGTACTTAATCTTACTGAGTTGCTAATTGTTCATTTATGGTGTGAAAATAGCCATAAGTACATTAACTTGGTTTTGAAACACATTCAAAGAATCGGTGTACAGCACACGGCATGCACTGTTTGGTACATTCTGAGTACTGCTTGGATGCTAGTTTATTGTAAAATGAACCTGAGCTAAACTGAGAGTTGGGTGATAGAAGTGGTGGTGGACTGGAATGAAGAATTATACTCTTGTTTTTTTCTTTTCAAGTTGGGATGATTTGTTTGTTTATTGTTTTAGAATGAGTTTTCCTGAAATAAATGCACTTTCTGTGGGGGGAGAGGGAAAAGAAACGTATGACCATGCACAGAATAGGGTGAGAAAGTGGAGATCGGGGATTAGAAGAATAGTGTGGGCTGTTTGGAGAGGAATGAATAAGGGAAATATCTGAACTCACTTTTTTTCCTTAAGTTATCTGTTTTCAGAGCAGTAGAATTTTTCATCAGAGATAAATATGAAAAGAAGAAATACTATGATAAAAATGCTATAGCTATTACAAATGTAAGTAAAACCATTTTTTATCAATTGATGTTCGTTAAGTAGATTTCAGATGTTTAACATATAGCTCATTTTGTTTATTATAAAACATATTAGTTGCATATGCTTAACTTTAAATATTAGTTTTTTTGGTTATATAACGTAACTTAAAGTAGAGAGGGTCCAGTTTACTTGACCTTTCATTAAAACAATTATGTAATTAAAAAGACTAAGCCACCAGTTGGGAAAAAAAAGAGGGGAATATAAAATTACTTTGTAAATTCTCGAAATGAATACTAAAGAAAATTTGTAGTCTTTTTTTCCTGCTAGAATATTGTTTGGTCTGTTGAAACATGAAGAGTATCCCAAGAGCATATTAATGCTGGATACTTTCCTTGATTATTAGCAAGTATATGATAAAAGTTGTTACCTTGCTGTAGCAATCAAATTAATCAACTGCATTTATCTAGTTTTTTATTTCAGATTAAAATTTTTCCTTCCTAGTTAATTATATAAGATTAATTTCCTTTATCATTGAAATAAATTTTTGGCCTTTGATTCCTTATTTAAGAAGAAAGTGTTACAGTAATTAATTTTGTGAAATCATTTATCATGCAGTTCTGAGAGTTTTCATCTCATTTGGCATTAAATTAGCCTTTTCTTTTAGTTCCTGTTCAGGTACTTTTCTGTTGCTGTGGTGAAGCACCCTGACCAAGGCAGCCTATAAAGAGAAGGGTTTATTTGGGGTTTAGTTTACTCTTCAGTTTCAGTGGCATTAAGAGTCCATCACCACACTAGGGAAGGGTGGCAGCAGGCAGGCAGGACACCTGGAGCTGGAGGCTGAGAGCTGAGTGCTACATCTCATAGTCCAAACTGAAGCAAAGAGAGCAAACTGGAAATGACACAGATCTTTAAGACCTCATGGCTACACCTCCTAAGCCACTAACGGGGAACCAAGTATTAAAATATCTGGAGATTTTGGTACCAAGATAGCCCTTGTAGTCCTTTGAGCTGCTTCTTCACCTTTGGTGGGTGGAACAGACAAAAGCTGTTGAAGGATAAATAAAAATTAACAGTGTTGAGAATGATGTTTATAATGTGCTTGAATTTAAGACTCCATTCATCCTTACGTGAACTAATTCAATATTTAACAAATTTTCATATGAAATATTATTTAGAATATTTTATAAAACATACTACTTTATATTAAACCCTGAATGTGACTTTCTAAACCTTTTCACTTGAATTTGTTTTTTTTTCTCAGCAAATTGGAAGTTAGGATTATGTATTAATTCATAAGAGCTTTATCTTTAGATGAAAACTGGTTTTCTCTTTTTCATGTATAGGTACTGTTTGTTAAGATAATCTTTTCAGTCATAGGAAATATAGTAAAATTACAGTGTTAGGGATACAAGGGTCATACGTAAATATAATAAAAGGTATTTACAGCAAGCCAACAGCTAACATTAAATTAAACGGAGAAAAACTCAAAGCCATCCCACTAAAATCAGGAACACGATAAGGATGTCCACTCTCTCCATACCTCTTCAATATAGTGCTTGAAGTACTAGCAATAGCAATAAGACAACATAAGGGGATCAAGGGGATTCGTATCGGAAAAGAAGAAGTTAAGCTCTCATTATTTGCAGATGATATGATAGTATACATAAGCGACCCCAAAAACTCTACCAAAGAACTCCTACAGCTGATAAACACCTTTAGTAATGTGGCAGGATACAAGATCAACTCCAAAAAAACAGTGGCCTTCCTATACACTAAGGATAAGGAAACAGAGAGGGAAATTAGAGAAGCATCACCTTTCACGATAGCCACAAATAGCATAAAATATCTTGGGGTAACTGTGACCAAGGATGTGAAAGATTTATTTGACAAGAACTTTAAGTCTTTGAAGAAAGAAATTGAAGAGGACACCAGAAAATGGAAGGATCTCCCTTGCTCCTGGATTGAGAGGATCAACATAGTAAAAATGGCAATTCTACCAAAAGCAATCTATAGATTCAATGCAATCCCCATCAAAATCCCATCAAAATTCTTCACAGATCTGGAGAAAACAATAATCAACTTTATATGGAAAAACAAAAAACCCAGGATAGCTAAAACAATCTTATACAATAAAGGATCGTCTGGAGGCATTACCATCCCTGACTTCAGACTCTACTACAGAGCTACAATATTGAAAACAGCTTGGTATTGGCATAAAAACAGAGAAGTCGACCTATGGAATCGAATAGAAGACCCTGACATTAACCCACAAACCTATGAACACCTGATTTTCGATAAACGAGCTAAAAGTATGCAATGGAAAAAAGAGAGCATCTTCAACAAATTGTGCTGGCAAAACTGGATGTCAACCTGTAGAAGAATGAAAATAGACCCATAACTATCACCATGCACAAAACTCAAGTCCAAATGGATTAAAGACCTCAATATCAGCTCGAACACACTGAACCTGATGGAAGAGAAAGTGGGAAGCACTCTACAACACGTGGGCACAGGAGACCACTTCCTATGTATAACCCCAGCAGCACAGACATTAAGGACCTCATTGAATAAATGGGATCTCCTGAGACTGAGAAGCTTCTGTAAAGGAAAGGACAGTGTCGCTAAGACACAAAGGCAACCCACTGACTGGGAGAAGATCTTCACCAACCCCGCAACTGACAAAGGTCTGATCTCCAAAATATATAAAGATCTCAAGAAACTAGACCGTAAATGGCTAATCAACCCAATTATAAAATGGGGCACTGAGCTGAACAGAGAATTCTCAACAGAAGAAATTCAAATGGTCAAAAGACACTTAAGGTCATGCCCAACTTCCTTAGCGATCAGGGAAATGCAAATCAAGACAACTTTAAGATACCATCTTACACCTGTCAGAATGGCTAAAATAAAAAACACCAATGATAGCCTTTACTGGAGAGGTTGTGGAGAAAGGGGTACACTCATCCATTGCTGGTGGGAATGCAAACTTGTGCAACCACTTTGGAAAGCAGTGTGGCGGTTTCTCAGGAAATTCGGGATCAACTTACCCCTGGACCCAGCAATACCACTCTTGGGAATATACCTAAGAGAGGCTTTATCATACAACAAAAGTATATGCTCTACTATGTTCATGGCAGCATTGTTTGTAATAGCCAGAACCTGGAAACAACCTAGATGCCCTTCAATGGAAGAATGGATGAAGAAAGTATGGAATATATACATATTAGAGTACTACTCAGCAGTAAAAAACAAGGGCTTCTTGAATTTTGCATGCAAATGGATGGAAATAGAGAACACTATCCTGAGTGAGGTAAGCCAGACCCAAAAAGAGGAGCATGGGATGTACTCACTCATATTTGGTTTCTAGCCATAAACAAAGGACATTGAGCCTATAATTAGTGATCCTAGAGAAGCTAAATAAGGAGAACCCAAAGAAAAACATATAGGCATCCTCCTGAATATTAACCTTCGTCAGACGATAGAAGGAGACAGAGACCCACATTGGAGCACCGGACATAAATCTCAAGGTCCAAATCAGGAGCAGAAGGAGAGAGAGCACGAGCAAGGAACTCAGGACCACAAAGGGTGCACTCACACACTGAGACAATGGGGATGTTCTATTGGGAACTCACCAAGGCCAGCTGGCCTGGGTCTGAAAAAGCCTGGGATAGAACCGGACTTGCTGAACATAGCGGTCAATGAGGACTACTGAGAACTCAAGAACAATGGCAATGGGTCTTTGATCCTACTGCATGTACTGGCTTTGTAGGAGCCTGGGCAGTTTGGATGCTCACCTACTAGACCTGGATGGAGGTGGGGGTTCCTTGGACTTCCTACAGGGCAGGGAACCCTGATTGCTCTTCGGGCTGGGGAGGGAGGAGGACTTGATTGGGGGAGGGGGAGGGAAATGGGAGGCGGTGCTGAGGAAGAGACAGAAATCTTTAATAAATAAATAAATTAAAAAAATTACAGTGTTAGGATTAAATGTCATGTTTGTAACTCATTTTCAAATAGTTCAGTGAAATCTGGCAGTTGGCATGCATATGTGTATGAGTGCGTAGAGAACACACATGGTGTGTTGTTAACATGCGAAGAATTTAGTGTTTATATAGGCACTGATACTATGTTTTTCTTATTCTTTTTTTTTTGTAGGCTTGGAAGTAAAAAAAAAATTAAAAGTAAAAGTTTATAAACTCCTGAGTTTGTATTACTAATGAAATGAAAATCCAGAAACATTTATGAAAGTTATTTACATGTAACCCATGTTCAGAGTCAGCTAGAATACTAAGTAGAGGTTATACCAGATTTTAAAAATGAGACAGAATATGAGTGTCTTATTTCTAAGTTATTTCCTGAAAGAAGTGGGACCATTTGGACACTAGTTACATTAGTTGTACTCTGACCAAGAGCTATCTTGATGACTTTTGAGTTTTATGTGGCTATAACTTCTGTATTAAATAGCTCTAATTTGTTTTAATGTCTTATTTTTATAATTTATCTGTTTCCTGATTCAGATGTTATTGTGTTGTCAGAATGTGCTACTGCTTTTGATTTTTTTTTCTATTTTAAGAATGATCCTTTTTCTCTATGTTAGGCAATTTCAAAACAAAATACTAATTTACTTCTTGGCTTTCTATACCTATTTCAAAATGTGATAAAATTCAAAGCAGTAAACTGCAATGAAACAATAGCAGGGAGCTTATTGTTTTCTGTTGTTCCACAGCCTTAGTGTAGCCATGAACCAAGGCTGCTGGAATCCAGTGAGAGTGAGAGAAGCTAGAGTGGAATCTTCTTCATTCCAGGGATGAGTTATTTTCAGCTATAAGAAATGCCTTCAGTAGGCTGCCCTGGTGGTACTGACTGATCTGTAATCTTAGTCTAAAGCAGTGGCTCTCAACCTTCTTAAATCTGTGACCTTGAATACAGTTCCTCATGTTGTGGTGACCCCCAACTATAAAATTATTTCATTGCTGCTTCATAACTGTAATTTTGCTACTGTTTTGAATCTTATTGTAAATAACTGATATGCAAGATATCATGAAAGGGGGTTGCAACCCACAGGTGGAGAATCACCGGTCTAGAGGTGGTTTAGAGGCGGAGGCAGAAGGATCCCAAGGTCTAGGCCTGCCTGGGCTAGAGAGTAAGTTCAAAGCCAATGTGGGCTATATAACCCAGTCAGTAGGAATCAGTGAATACTTGGAGTCCTAGAAAAAGCCATGCCAAGTCAAGAGGAAAGAACTAATAAAAGTGTGGGCACTTTACCTAGTCAGGATAAGAAGAGCAAAGGTTCCTAAAAGTCAGTAGAGACAGACTAGAGAACAGACTAGGAGGAGTTGTAGGTGACAGAATGCAGAGTGTAGCCAGAGCAGGGAAGGAAAAGGGGATACAGTAGGTGTGAGGTAGTTAAAGAGTGTGTAAATAATCTAAGATCAGATTTGCATGTGAGAGTAACTTAAGTATAGAGCCAGGATTTGGGGAAGTCAGGAGCACTATTCCAGGAGACAGTTGTACCCTCTTGCTAGTGAGGTATGAGAAAGACATGGTTTTGAGAGATAGAGACCTTTCAAGAGTACCTAGTTTGTTTCTTTTTTCCTTTCTTTCTTACACCTTCTAAAGAGGATAACAATCACTTTAATAATAAAGTGGGTTTTTTTGTTTCTTGATGTTTTGTAATTTACCTTCTCACCTTTTATATTTCTGTGTTTTATTTTTACAAGTTTGTACAAATAAGTTTTATGATACAGGTTACCTTATTAAGTAATCTTATCTTTTTAATCCCATTTTACATGAAAATTTCAATAAATATCTCTAGGAACAAGATGGGCTCTAAGGTACAGTTTGAACAGATTTTCTCTTTTTTTGGACAAGGTCTTTTTATTTAGCTCTGTCTGGACTGGAATGTCTTGTGTCCTGAGTGCTGGGTAATGCCATTATTCCTGGCTAGTTTGACTTTTTCTTAATGGAAATTCTACATTTCTATGTGCTGTGCATTTTCTTTTATGTGAGGCTTGCTTTAATATTAATTAAATATCTAGTTTACGCAAATCACACCAGAAAAACACTGTGCAAGGGAGAAACAAGCGTCCAAAGTGGTTCAAGAACTACAGTCTTAATTAACTAGCAGATTGAAGGAGAAGTTGGCATCGTGAAGTACTATTTTGACATTACATGATAGCCCATCTATAATAGCAACTCGAAATCCCCATAGGCCCTCCCAGTATGACAGGGAAATACAGAGGTGCCAGCTTTATGGCTCCAGAGATCTGGCATGCATTTTATAAACAGTCAGTTTTATTTCTGTGGTGAAGAGAGCAGTAAGAAATGCTTCTGTTGAAGTGTTCGCCAGTGCATGTAGATTGGGTAGGAAGATGTGTGCAAAGCTTTCAGGTGAATTCCATTTTTTTTTTAAATTTATTTATTTATTAAGGATTTCTGCCTCGTCCCCACAACCGCTTCCCATTTCCCTCCCCCTCCCCCGATCAAGTCCCCCCCCCCCCCATCTGCTCGAAGAGCAATCAGGGTTCCCTGACCTGTGGGAAGCCCAAGGACTGCCCACCTCTATCCAGGTGAATTCCATTTTTGTGTGTAGATGGCTGCTTATGTGTGACTGCCTTAGTCCCTTAAGGTAACCCAGCAAATACGGCTTTGGGACTTCTGTGTGCATGCCCATCGTCGTGAAGGACATGAATAAATTATTTTGTAATAAGTCTGTTGCTACTCAGCTGTTACATTAACCCAGTCTTCTCTTAGTCTTTGCTTTTGCTTTCAAGTTAAAAATGTAATTATCTTTTACTATTTCCCCTGCTTTACTTTCCGTTCTTAAAGTAATTATCAGCAAAAATAAAAAGAAAATTTTACTCTCCTACTTTGGATAAAACCTTTTCTTGCTTGAGTATGTTATGGTTTCAGTAGTAACATTGACTGAGAATGAATTACCAGAGAAAATTATACTTATTAGTTTTGTTATGATCTTATCTAAACAGTTTAAATTTTTAGCCTAGTAAAATCTATTTTAAGTGTATATTCTTTTCTATGTCCTTTTAAATATTTCACATAGACATTGTTTTTAAAACATACTTATTCTTGATGGCAATATTTTACTTTGTTAAAATTCTTTAAACTGCTTTTATCATAAACATGAGTGTTGGTTTCTTTCTGGTGTTTGTCAGTTTGATCACCACCTTCTCTTCTTTTTTCCTCCTAACTTTGCGTCTGCACATCTAGATTTCCTCCTCTGATGCCCCTCTTCAGCCTTTGGTATCCTCTCCTTCTCTGCAAGCTGCTGTTGATAAAAACAAACTAGAGGTATAGTAAGTTTTCCACATGTGCATTTGTGGTGTTGCTGATAGGTGGGCTTCTTCTCACAAGACTGTGGTTTAGGAACACCAATAGAAATCATGTTTTGAGTAATATCCAGAATAAAAAATGTCAAATATTTAATTTGCTGAATCTTGTTCTATGCCATTGGCATGAGTAACGAGTTTTGTTTTATATTTAATTTCAGAGTGACTGATTTTGAGGCTATTACCATATTTAACCATTAAGCAATTTTTTGTTGTCATATTCATAACTGCCTTATAGGAACTTTAAAGGTTGATGAACTTTAAAGATACTTTGTTGTTGAATTCTCTGATTTCTACATCTTTGGTTAAAAAAAATCTTTTCTGACTATGGTGCTGTTTCTCTAAGTACTTGAAAGTTGATGTCAAATTTCTTTTTCTTTTCCTTTGAAGCAGTATCAACGGTCATATAGAAAACTATGTATTTTATGGGAGTGTGACTTTAGAACTGTCAATGATGAATTTTAGAGTATATTCTGAGTGTGGTAATAAGATAGGTATTCTTATGTCTTGTATTATGTATTCAAGTCTCGTGTGCACATATTTGAGAATTTTAATTTCCTTTGATATTCATATTTTTGTGTCTACATCTTGATAAATGGCATGTAGACTTGTGGGACACAAAGACAAGTAAGATACGCCTGTGCCCTTGTGGACTTTGTAGTCTAATGGGGAAATACAGCAGTTTATAATGCGGTGTATTTATGCTGTGGCTGAGATAGCTTTGCTACTACTCTTAGAAAATATACTTTTGATGGATTTTATACTCTTGAGAAGGCATTAACTATAAGGATCAGGAGGTATTCCAGGTAGAGAAAGCAGCTTGTGAAAAGGTATAGGTGGAGTACTGTGTTTAAGAACTGGCAGGTTGAATGGTGTAGCGGAAACAAGAAAGAAGGGGGAGAAGTAGGAGGGAGTCCTTAAGAACCCACGGAAGGAGATTGTTCTTCGCTCTGAAGGCTGTGGAACTTTAATATGAGTTTTAAGGGGAAGGGGCGAATGACAAGGTTTTCATGTTTTCAGAAACTCTGTTCTACTGGCTCCTGGGAAAGTGAATTTTGTGGTAACAAATGAAGAAAAAGGCATAAGAACCAGACTTAATCCAGAAATAAAATGACGGACACCTGCTAAAGTGGGACAGAGAAAAGAAGAGTGTAGTTTAGAGCGATCATAAGGTAGACTATGTGGTGTTTAATGGGGTGCTTTGAAAGCCTTGGCTTCCATTTCTGACTTCAGCATCTCCATGTGAGGATCTGATTTGAAGAGAAAAATGGAAAATGAAATGGATTCAAAGTTAGGCACATTCAGTATGAGGTTACAGGTGATAGCAGGTATTTGGACATAGAGATTTATACAAGTCAGAGAGAGATCCAGAGGTTTGATAGGTGGAGTGTCAGCTCTGAATAGCATGCCGAACCACCAGAGGAAGCCATTTCCAGGATACTAGCTGAGCGTTATTAGCACAGGGGAGTTCATGAGACTGACTGGATTTTAGAGCACATAGCGCAGGGTTAAAAGTGAGTAGGCTCTGATGATTTGGTGTTCAGTTGAAGTCCTGGAGAGCCTCTGTTCTTTTTTCTGTTTTCTCTCTTTTCTCCACTTTCCTGTTCCCTTTTAACATGTGGTTTGATGTAGTTCAGGGCAACCTTGAACTCCTGATCCTCCTCTGGAGTTTTGGGATTGCAGCTGTGTGACACGCTTGTCTTTTTTTTTTTTTTTAAAAAAAAAAACAAACAACAAAACAACCCACCAGCTTTTGATTCTGTGGGTAAGAATCAATGTCTGGGTCAAACTCTATGATCTTAATTTAGAGCCCATACTGTTAATGTTTCTTCCAACCCTGGATCATTATGTCATAACTGGAATCAGTATTGCATTGGCTGACATTCTAGTATAAAAGGGAATCAAGTCATACTGGTTTCTCCCTATTAAATGTAACTAAGAACATTTATTTTGGATGATTTCAAATTTGCCCACCAATCATAGTGATTAAGATATGAGCCCTTTTCATTAGTGATGTTTTCCTTGAAAAATGACTTGGTTTCTATAGGCTGCTGTATCAAAAATACCATGTGTTGTGTGGCTTATGAACAACAGTAATCTATTTCTCACAGTTCTGGAGGCTGTAAAGTTCAAGACCAAGGCTTGTGTCTTGTGTGGGCCCACTTGCTTATTCATAGAATGGCACCTTGCTGTGAATATCACTTGGTGGAAATGGGTAAGACTCATTCTGGGTCCTGTTTTATCAGAATACTAATCCCAGTCATAGGGGTTCTGCTCTTGTGACTTCATCATCTCGCAAAGGCCCTCGGCTCTTAATACTGTCTCGCAGTGTTGGGGTTTTAGTCTCAATACATGTATTTTGAAGTGGCCACAAACATTTCAACCGTAGAATAAGTAACATCTCTAAGAGGTTAAGGAGCAACTTACTTAGCTTATTAACATGGGTCAGCTTTTATCACTAAACCTTACTAATTATGTCTGGAAGACATTATTAGAACTTTTAGCTCATTTTATTTTTCTTACAAAGTTGGGATGATTGCTTACTTCATAAAGCTGTTGTGAGGATGAAATGAGTTCGGAACAGTGCCTGTGCTATTAGCTGTAATCTAAGAAATAACAGCAGATTATTTCTTATAAAGCTCCACTGTACTTGAGTGAGCAGTGAGACCTGAGTGCTTTGGGTCTGTCCTCCACCAGCACAAAGGGATACTGACTAGTGGTTGTATTTTGAGTATTGCTTTCCTAAGTTTTTGCTTTCTTCATTTACAAGAAGACAGTAATGACAATAGTTGCTTTGAACAGTTTTTGCAAAGATTAAATTAGACATTAAGGAAATTCGCATAGATGTATTTTAGAAGTGAAGGTTTGGTTTGGGTTATAGTTGAGTCAGATATAGATGATGCTTCTAATTGACCCCCAGGAGCTTAAAGTTTACTTTTAGTCTGGAGTTCCAAGTAGTTGGGCAGATAGAAAAGTATTCTGAGAAATAACCTAATTCCTAGATGGTCTTCTGTTTGTTCTAGTCTATTTTTATATATGCTCATTTGTTAATTAAAATCAATTGCTCTTTATGTTTTAGCACTTTAGGTATTCAGAAAATACAATATTATGTTACATTTACTTTGTTCTTGAAAAGCATGATTGAAACAGATGGTTTGAGAGAATTGTCCTAAGGGACCTTAAATATAATTTTTTTTTGTTTTTTTTTTTTTTGTTTTTTGTTTTTTGTTTTTTTCGAGACAGTGTTTCTCTGTGGTTTTGGAGCCTGTCCTGGAACTAGCTCTGTAGACCAGGCTGGTCTCGAACTCACAGAGATCCGCCTGCCTCTGCCTCCCGAGTGCTGGGATTAAAGGCGTGTGCCACCATCGCCCGGCCAAATATAATTTTTTTAATCTGGGTTGTTTTAATTTGCTTTTCTGTTGCTATGATAAATACCATGTCCAAAAGCAACTTAGGGGAGAAAAGGGTTCATTTTAGTTCACACTTCTAGGTCACAGTGCATCACTGAGGGAAGGTGGAGCAAGAACCTAAGTAGGGACTCAAGCAGCCGATGAAGGAATGTTGCTTTCTAGGTTGCTCACTGCCATTGCTTTCTCATGGAACCCAGGCCCACCTATGGAATGGTACCTCACAGTGGGCTGAGCCTCCACATCAGCCAAGACAGTCTCTCATAGACGCAGCCACAGACCAGCCGATCAAGACAGTTCTCCAACTAACTAGAGGTTGTTTCTAGTTGACACTAAGTATTAACACACAGGTTCTGAAAGTTTAGTGATGCATTCTCATTTTGCTACACATACACTGTTGGTGTTTGTATACAAATGTTCTCACCAACTTACTGTTACGCACAGTAAGTTGCTTGCCAGTAAAAGGAAATGGTAACAGGAGAAGTGCTTTAGAATTTTGCGTTGTTCTTAATCTTATAGTTGAAGACATTGCTGTTTATGCCATAAAGATATTTGCTATACTTTTTTTTTTTTCAATTTGGGACCAATACTGAGAGTTTTATTTTCTCTTTTATATTTTGCTGCAAGTGCTGAAATTGAAATTAAATTTCTCATATTGGTGTCCTGCTTTATAGTTCACAGTATTCTGAGGTTTTAAGTACCTTTTTAAAATAAATGTACATTAAAATTACGTTGATTTTTCAATACTTAATAAGCAATATTATATAACTATCACCTATCACTATGTAAATTGAATGTTATTGTCATTTCCAAAGCTCCCATCTTATAATCTTTAATCACTTCATTCTTTCTGTTTGGAGGTAATTAGCATACTGACTTTTTCACTTAGCATCAGTATCAATTTTGTGTTTTTATTTGTGCATAATGTGCTTTAAATTATTTTATTACTTTGCAGTTTTATACTCTTATGCCTACAAACTTTTTGTCTTTTTTCATTTTTATATGAGTGGCTAAGTCCTTTGAAGTTCTATTAGTTCATATTATAGTCTAGGATACCGCTGTTCGCTTTACTCATTTATACACGGCAGGCACAGCTTTGCTCTCTCTCTCTCTCTCTCTCGACCTTTAAGAATTGTTGTTACTGTTCTTAATTCTCCATGGAGTACAAATGGTGAACACCGTAATACCATTATTATAATTTTCCCCAACTATTTACACCAATATTTGAATCTGGCTCCATGTACTGTCCTTAGTACTTTTAATAAGAAAATCTTTATAATAGTTTTTAAAAGCATAAAATTATAACTTAAAAATTTGTGTTACTTTTGAAATTAAGATGATTTTTGTATTTTAACTCCTGTGTTTTTCTGATATAGTATTACTTTATCTATATCACAAAGAAAGTCTGTTCTTCTGGGTATGTGGTGCACACCTTTAATCCCAGCACTTGGGAGGCAGAAGCAGGTGGATCTCTTACCCCTACCCCCACACCGCTGATACAGGGAACTCACTATTTGACCAGGCTGGCCTCAAGCTCACAGAGATCTGCCTGCCTCCGTGTCCCGAATGCTAGGATCAAAGACAGATGGATCTCTTGAGTAACAAGCCAGTCTGGTCTAAAGGTTGAATTCTAGAACATTTAGGGCTACAGAGTAAGACACTGTCTCGTAAAAGAAAAAGAAAAAAAAATCCATCCTATCAATTGGTTTACTTCTTATGTATGTAAGAAGTTAAGTATTAGCCTGATGTAAACATCTACTAGAATTTGCTGAATTGAGTTCTTATCCTTTAAAACAAATCCTGAAGTTTAAATTGTCTCACTTGTGAAATTTTGAGTAATCCTCTGTATTGTGTTTAGTATTTAACCTCAATGAAAAAATGAAATTGCTTTTGACATTCAGATTTCAGTAGCATGTGGATAATGTAAGCACTTGATATTTCTGTCTTTTCTCAAATGATGATTTCAATGAATAAAATGAACTAAAAGTTTCTGTTTTAAAAAGTAAACTTATGAAAAATTTGGGCTATGTTTTAGAAAGAAAAGGAAAAAAAAAAGGAAGAGAAAAAGAGAGAAAAGGAGCCAGAAAAGCCTGCCAAACCACTAACAACTGAAAAGGTAAAATTTCTTTTTTTTAAAAAAATCTAAGATTATCATCTTATTATATGCCTGTATTAAAGACTTTCTGGATATTTATGAAATGCCAATTATTAGCTTTTCAGAAACTAATCATGCAGTTAATCCTTCATACTGAGCATAGCCTCATGAGCTTCTCTTATGTGATTTCTAGTCAGTTATACGTATGGTTCACATCATCTCAAATCCTTATGAAGCAAGTATTCTCCTTTGAGTGACCCTGAAATGGTGATTTTAGCTGCCATGTACAGTGAGGCTGGAGTAAGTTTACAAAATGAAGAGGTCACAGGTGAAAAAGCTCAGAGAGGATTTTCTGCTTCATAACATATGAGCTAGATCTTGAAGCATGAGTAGTTTAGTGTGGAAGAAAGAAGATGCTAGACTGTAAGGCAGCCTCGAGATGGTCTTGGAAACCGGAAATAAAGTGTGTTTGGACAGATGTAGTGAAAAGTAAGGTCAGAACAGGAGCGTGAACTCATATCACAGTATTTATTCTTCTGATGAGGAGTGGTCCTGGAATACACTTTGTTCTTGTTTTCTCTCTTTCCTCATCCCTCCCTTCTGTAGCTCAGGCCAACTCAAGCTCTTTTCTTAAATGTTTAAGTTACACTTGAATTGATGTGTTGTGTGAGTGTGCTGTAGCAAGTGTATGCATTTCCACCAGGGTAGTCGGAGGTCACAGGACAACTTGCTGCAGTTGGTTCTCTCCTTCCGCTGTGTGGGTTCTGGGAATTGAACTCAGGTCAGCTGGGCTTGGAAACAGACATCTTCAGTAGGCACCTCCCGAGCCATCTCAGTGACCCCCCCCCCCCAGGTTAAATGCTTACCTCCTCTTCCTGGTCCTCTTAAGTGCTAGACTGACAGATGTTTGGCACCACACCTGGCTAGTACTTGAGTTTCTACAGGAAGTGGTGCACCTAATTTAGACACATTCTTTTGCAAGGTTATTTTTGCAGTAGTATGTAAGAAAGGTATGATAGATAAGCTAGAGTTAAGGAGAACATCATCTTTGCAAAGGAATTGGGTGTATAATTCTGGTGCCTTGATTTTGAATGTGTTTCATCATTCATGTGTGGAAACATGGAAAGAGAATGATTAATTCCCTTTGATTTTATATCCTCTTGATAAATGGCATATAGACTTGTGGGACTCAAAAACAAGTAAAATATGCCTGGGCAAATAATTAGCTTGAGATAAGAATTTTTTTACAGCTTAAATGGTCTGCTGTGTTCTTACTATTTTACATAGTTTAAACCAGAAGCATTGAGTAGCTAAAGTATTGTCTTATCGAAAGCTATACAAGATGACAGTAATAAATAATTATATACTAAAATACCCTGAAGTCTAGCATGAGGAACCTACTGAAGTCATAATAGCTTTTTAATACTTAGTTACTATTAAAATAACTGAAATGATAAAGTGTATATATATATAAAGTCATATTTTAGATATGTTATAGGCTTTGTAGTAAATTGAAAACATTTTTTCCATGGAATTTCTGAAATGTTTTTAAGTCTTAACGTTTTATCACAAGTGAAGCAATAAAATAAGGAAGAAATCCAATTACTTTATGTGTAAAGCTTTCATTTCCTACTTAATAAAAGAAAGGCTTTTGCTCAGTAAGCATGCAAGCTCACAATCCTATTTTGTAAATTAGAAATTTTTCTTAAATAGAAAAAAGGAGTTATTTTCTCAAAAAATGCTTTGATAAAAAGTAGTTTCACTGAGCTAAAGCCCCCAGTTAAGTGCATCAAGATTTAAGGCTCAACAATTAAATTAGATGTGTTGTTGAAAAGGATGAAACCATCTAGAACTTTACTGAGTGCCCAGTGTAGTGTAAACATCATTTTGAAGCCTTTAAATGTATTATTTCATAGTCCTCATGGTACTTTGAGTTTGGTATGACTGTTTTTTATTTTTTTCATTCTTTGCTTGAACCTGAATGATATAGGATCAGCAGTTTATTCCTGGTCACACAGCTGTTAAGTAGTGACTAAGCTGAGATTCACTAAGCATCTGCCTTCCCTGCATGCACTATGAACAGTAATATACTGTGTGCACTATCAGTTTATTCTCTACCATCCAAAAGGGGATTAAGAAAAAAGGAGACATTATGTATTTGTCATGTGGCGGCATGGGTAGGGGCGAGACTGCCCCCTGTCTCCCCCACCTTCCCATCAATGCCTGAGGCAGATGGGAGAGATGTCCCCATCTGTCTTGTGGCCACATAGGGGAGAGATCCTTCCCCCTCACACCATCAGGTGGGAGAGCTGGACCTGAGGTCAAGAGCAGGAGAGCTGTCACTGCCCCTCATCAACTGCAGTACTCTGGAGAGTGGCCCCTGTGCCTCACCTGGGCAACACAGTAGAGCTCGCCCTGAAGGTGTAGGTGTGGGAGAGCCTACCTGGAGGATGTGAAAACAGGAGAACTGACCCCGCAAGGGGTGAACTAGCCAGTGAAATGCCAGAGAACTCACCCTGGTGCTAAAGACAGGGGAAGGCTGTCAGGCCGACCAATCCCTCAACTACCCAGGCCCAGAACCAGGGTTAAGTGCTGACCCATCCCAATATCCATGCCATCTGTGATCTGCTGGATCCAGAGTCACAGGATCTCCACAACAAAGGGCAGTCACAGATGTCCAGGAAGAGTCCCAGTATTGATAGTGTAGTAGAGACCAGAGGCCTCAGACCAAACCAGTGGTTCTTTGCAATGAATGTCTGCATGTAAAGATGTATGGCTAAAGGGATTTACTGTGTCACTCACTGCAGTTTCCATGATGAGGGATTCCCTCCCCCCTTTTTAATTTTTTGACCTTTTTATCTTAAATTTTATTTTATTTTGAGGGGTATTGCAGGAGCAGAGGGCAGATACAAAGAATGGGAGATGGATGTGATTGGGATGCATGCTGTGAAAGACAAAAAAATAAATGAAGTTTAAAAATGGGGGGGAACAGGAGGGCAGAGAATCAGCTCTTCTTTCTACTAAGTGCTGTTGTTTGTGCTAAGCATTTCATGTGTGCCATTTAGGGATGACAGTAATCCTGGGAAGTCTCAGGACAGTGACTATGCAAATTTAATATGAATTAATGCAAAGAAGAATAGAAAATTCATAAAGAAAAGCTGGCTCAAGGTCACGTGTAATAATTGGTGGAGTCATCTTTCTAAAGGGTGGCTGGGAAGGAGCTTATTGCTGCCTTACTGTATTAGCTACTGTTCTTGTTGCTGTCAACCAAAAAGCACGTTAAGAAAGGTTTGTTTGGGCAACATGGTATAATAAAAAGAATATGGACTTTGGAGTCAGGAAAAATTCAGTGATTATGATTAAAGCTTAATTTTTAACTGAGTATGATAATGCATATCTGTAATGCCAGCACCCAGAATGGGAAAGTAGGAATTTGAGGGCAGCCTGGGCTACATAGTGAGGTGCTATCAAAAATAATGTATAACAAAACAAACAAAATAAACCTGTAATGTAATATTCCAAGAAATGATCTTAGTTTACAAGTATTCTTAAAGTAGTCTGCCTTATACCTAAAACTGAAGACAGCTAATATGTAACATATATACACAGTGTAGATAGACTGTAGCAGGTTATTAGAACACAGCAGTGAACAGTTCCTGCCTCGACACACTCATTCTGAAGTCCTCAGTTTTTAATCTCAAAGACATGTTCACATTGGCTTCCAGCAACATGCCAGTTACAGTTCAGAATTTCCTCCCTGAGAGTGGGTTTCTTTTGCATACATTGTGTTTCTTGATGTCTGCCTGGCTTCTGGTTTGGAAGTTTTACGCACGCGCGCGCGCGCGCGCACACACACACACACACACACACACACACACCCTTGCCTTATGACTTCTTTTCTCTGATGTATCTAAAAGAGATGTTTAGTTTTCATCCTCCTGCCCTTTCTACTTGTTAAATTCATCAGTTTAGATTCCTTATGTGCTGTTGTCTGCATTAACTAGCCAGCTAAGGAGCAGTGGTATCTCATTCTTGAGGATCAGCTTTTATACCTGTTACTTAAAAGAACAAGAAATGTCAAAAACAGGGTGACTGAAAAGTAAGCTTTTATTCTGTTCAGTCTGTGAAGTAGCTTTGTAAATTACTGAAAGACTGGGCAGCGAAGCTTCTGCTGATAACACTGTAGTAATTTGAATGGGACTCCTGCTTGTTGGGAATCTCCATAAATTTTATAAAGTTGCTTTATTTGAATTTACTTATGTAAGTACTTGCTGAAAAATTTTGCTCAGTAAATTGTAGATCACCTAACTTTACCCTTACATAGTTAACTCAGGTTTTCTAATAGTGGTTCTCCACCTTCCTAGTGCTTGTGACCCTTTAATACAGTTCCTTATGTTGTGGTGGCTCCCAACCATAGCATTATTTTTGTTGCTGCTTCATACATGTAATTTTGTTACTGTTAAGAATTGTGATGTAAATATCTGTGTTTTCTGATGGTCTTAGGTGACCCTTGTGCAATGGTTGTTTGACTCACCGATTGAGATCGCTGCCTTATTAAAAGGCAAAGAAAGTCTGTGATGCTTATGGAAGCTGAATAAGTTACAGTGCAGTGATTCTACATGTCCTGTTTTCCACTTCTGAGCTCAGTATGAACTGTCAGAAGGGTGATAGTGAAATAAAGAGCGATGTGGTTGTCAGAATACTTTGATATTTACCTGTGCTCAATTTTTTTTCCTCTCCAACCTCAACTAACAAGTGTTAGTAGCAACTAGAAAATAATATGTGATCCAGTTCCTTAAAAGTGTAACTTGCTGGCGAGATGACTCAGCAGGTAAAGACACTTGCTGCCAAGCCTGAATGGAATTTTACCCCTGGACCCTGGATGGGTAAAAGGAGAGAACTGACCCCTCAGAGTTTCCCTTTGAACTTAACACATGTCATGGTATGCACATACACATACATACCACACAAAATAAATGAAGAGATAAAAGTATAAAAATTTGTGCCTGGCGATGCAGTCCTGTGGTCTCTGCTTCTTGGAAGGTCGCAGACTACAAGTTGAAGGCTTACTTGGGCAACTTAATGAGACTTGACTCAATATAAAATATAAAGAAGAAGGAGTTCGGAATATAGCTCAGTGATAGCATTTGCCTATCATGTATAAGGTGACAGGTTCAATTCCCAGTACTACGGGGAAAGATAAATAATGACACTATTCAGTGGTCTCATTGTGTAAGAATTACTATTGTAAATTCAAAGACCATGTTTACCTGCTTAAAAAAATAATAAGTGCTTTAGGATTCCTCATGCTAACTTCATGAAAATTATGCATAAGTGAAACTTAAAAGATTGGTTTGATTTATAAAATTATCAATCTAATGATTTACTTCAAAGGTACAGAAGAAAGAAGATCAACAACTTGAGCCTAAGAAAAGCACTAGCCCAAAAAATGCTGCAGAGCCCACTGTTGATCTTCTAGGACTTGGTAAGTAATGGACTGTAAGACAACTGAAAGCCTACTGGAAATGAACATGGTGTCCAGTTCTTCAGTATTATATCAAGGATTTGGTTTGAAATGGTCCGATAAGTATGCTGAACTCGCACAGAAAAGACACATTTTAATAAGGAAAACCAGTGTCCATCAGCTCTGTTCTTTACTGAAATAAAAGTAATGAATTCCTTGGGGGGAAAGATATCAAAGTAACCTTCAAAAGCTTGGTAGATGTGACATTTCAAGATTAAGTAAACAGTAAGTCCTCCTAGCCCCACTCAATTAAAATAAAATAGGGGGATTCCCACCCCCTTAGTAAAATAATTCTTGATAACAATATTATTAGCAAATACATAAATTCAAATTTTAATTTAATTTTAACTTAAGCAATGCATTTAAGAATTGTTTTGCATATATTATGCATAATAATGGTTTCATTATGGCATTTTCATGTACACAATGTATTTTAACCATGTTCGCCTCTCCTTTACCCTCCCTGATCCCCCCCACTGCTTCTGTGTCTCCCTTCTACTTCCATGTCTTATAAGAGAGTTTAATTAGGGTTACTAATAGGAGTATGGATAAGGGATTATTTATAAGATGCATCAGCTCACCAGTGACTTCACCACTGAAAAAAATGTCTCTTCCTCCCACAACAATTATTAAGTGCCCATAGCTGTTCAGAGAAGGGCAAGGCCTCGTGTACCCATCATGTTCCATGATGAAATGTTGAGAGTCCAATCTTGTGTAATTACAGCTTTTGAGTGTTCAGTAGCCTATTGGATGTGTCTTTCCTAGAAGACAGCATTCTGCAACATCCCATCCCTTTCCTTTGCCTCTTGCATTCTTTCATCCCCTCTTCTGTGATATTACTTGAGCTTTGGAGTGGTGATACAGATACCTCATTTGTAACCGAGCATTCAGTAGCCACTCATCCTCAGACTTTAACCCATTGAAGTTTCTGCATTAATCACTACTTACTGCAAACTGAAGCTTCCTTGACCACCAGCAGAAATGTGTAGGTATAAACAGATATTTAGAAGACATTTTCTTAGGCATATCACATTGATTTTGTAAACTTCTCAACAGTGCCTTCCTTAGTAGGGCCTCCGACTTTCTTAGCCATGAGTTTTTGAACAAGTTTACAGTACCACATATGTAATCTCTTTTGTGAACTGTAAGCATTGGAGCTCAGATGGAAAGGTATCCTGGCAGTTGGGAGCCAAGGTACACCACAAAGTCAGTGTAAGCATAGCAGCTTACAGCTCTGCTCCAGGAAAGGTTTCCCCAATGCCAGTATGGCAACTCTGCTACTGCATGGGAGGGTTTCCCCAGAAAAGTGTTAGAGCTCTGCTCAGGTCTCCTCCACCAAAGTGTTAGAGCTCTGCTCAGGTCTCCACCAAAGTGTTAGAGCTCTGCTCAGGTCTCCTCCACCAAAGTGTTAGAGCTCTGCTCAGTTCTCCTCCAAAGTGTTAGAGCTCTGCTCAGGTCTTCTCCACCAAAGTGTTAGAGCTCTGCTCAGTTCTCCTCCAAAGTGTTAGAGCTCTGCTCAGTTCTCCTCCAAAGTGTTAGAGCTCTGCTCAGGTCTCCTCCAAAATGTTAGAGCTCTGCTCAGTTCTCCTCCAAAGTGTTAGAGCTCTGCTCAGGTCTCCTCCAAAGTGTTAGAGCTCTGCCCATGCAGGGTACCTCTGGTCAAAGTCTGTCTTACTCTTTTTGTTGTTTAGTTTAATTATCAAGTGTGAGGTTTTCTATGGCTTTTTCCATACACACTTAGTTTTGGATGGCCTCTTGCCCTATACTACTTAAACTGTTTTTATCTCCACTTTCCTCTTCCACTTTCATGTGTGGTCTACTGCTCCACCATAACTTAAAGCCTCTTTTTTCTCTCATGGGACCTTTTGTTTTCTGAGGTTTGGTGGCATTTGTTGGCTAATTAAATATGAGAAAAGGTAGAGTTAAAGGTAGCATTAAATCTGTTTTGGACTGGACACTCAGAAAATAGAGTTTGCAATAGAGTTGGGAAAGTCTGCAGGAAGTCTGGATGGAGGATTAGGAGTTTTGTTTGACCATAGTTAATTGGAAATATTTATTACACTAAAAAGCTAATGCAAATAGAAGAAAATCTTAATTAGGTATTTAGATGACTTAGGATTAAAGAGAGGCCTAGGCGAGGAATACAAAATTGGATGTTTCCAGCTTGTAGGTGTTATTCAGTTATGAAATTAGACCAGATCATTAACAAAGTGAAAACAGAGAGGTTTAAGAAAAAAAGAGGTTTAAGTTCTGTGCCCTATGGTACTTAGTTATTTAGAGGCCAGGAGATAAAAGACCTAGAAAGGTGACTAGGAAGGAATGAATAAACTATGTTCTGTTAAAACTTTATTTGTAGAAAGGCAGAGGACCAAATGTAGTCTGCAAGCCGCTGGTCTCCATTGCTGTGAATTATGACAAAGGGATCTGTGGAGGCTGTGAGCCTGTCCCACCAGTGTTTGAGCTTATTTTTACTCCTTCAAAGTTGACCACAGCTGTGGCTACAAGCAAGAAATCCTGACCTAGGGTGTGGCTACTTGGTGTTTTGGACATTAGGTTGACTCATAGAGGTGTTTCTGCTTCACCCTGACCAAAGGTCAGAGAATTCAAGCCTATTCCTGCTCCTTCATTTTAAAATAGGAGGTTTGACCCAGGGAATGGCTGCCCACAGGATACTAGATCTAGGTTGTGTTCACTGCATATCCTGCCCAAAACATCAAATGCTTTACTCAGGAAATAATGGCTTGATGTCTCAAGTATTGAAGCAATTAACCGTTCTGGTTGTCCTTTGTATCATGTTAAAGTAGTCTTTGCCTTCTCTCCCTCCCCCATTTGTATTGGGGTATAAAAGCGTATGGAAAATAAACACAGGTGAATTCAGTATTCAGTATTTACTGGTTTCCCTCCTGGTACTATCCTATGTCTTTGTGTTTCTTTCATATCTTTGTTCCTCCTACCTTATGATTTAATCCCCATGCCCCTACTCTAGAATGTACGAACCAGTCATGGCTGGACCGCAGCAGAAGTCACCCCAACATGTGGCTTATGACAGGTATAGGAGCACATAGCAGGTCACATGCAGTCTCTGAAGATTGTTACTTAAATTTCAGTGGTGACAAGGCCACTGAAGTGCCATCAAATATGTAGACAAAGTAAGGAAGAGAGGAAGGAAGAAACAGTTGTCTTGTGTTTTTGGTTGATGAAGCATAGTGAAGGTTGAGAAATCAGTGCATTCAACACAGATAACAAGAATACATTCCAAGGTGTTTGGAATGTAAGAATGATCAGTGGAATTTGAGAGAGACTGGAAGGCAAAAAAAGGCAAAAAATAAATACATATAGATGGTTCTTTAGATGTATTGTCCTATTACAGGGGTAGGGACAGGGGAATGGAGCCTGTCTGTCTGTCTGTCTATCTATCTATCTATCTATCTATCTATCTATCTATCTATCTATCTATCTTATGAGCTATAGTCCATTTGCATTTTCATTGAGCAGACAACTTTGGAGAACCCATCGGATGATGTGATGGTACACTTGGAACTGGTCTGTAGGAGAAAGTTGCAGATCCAGCTAGCAGGGCAGTTGGTGAAGGAGGCTTCTCTGTTCGTGAGTTGTCTTATGTGGTACTCTGAAAACAGTGATGGGCTGAACTATGGACAGTGACTTGTAAATGTATTCCTGATTAGGAGAACTTCAGTCTCTTTCATAAGTGAACTGGAAACAAGAAGCCCTGGTGTTATGAAGTAGTTGTAATACAAACAGATAGGGTTTGTGAGCAAGGAGGAGTTAGCTGGCAGCTGAGTTTTTCAGGTACACCTATTTGTTAACCTCTCTTGAAATCCTTGATTTATTGTTAGAAACCTTTAAGGTGATAAAAGGACTAAATGGAGATTGAAGAAATATTAGAATTTAAATATGTATCATTAAAATACAAAGTATTCTTAATTCTTATTAGCTTATAAATTCTCATTTACGTGGGTGCTCGGATCACAAATGGGACACTAAGTAGTGTTTGTTTACCATGTCTTCATTTGGATTATTGGAATCAGATCAGTCCAATGTAGCAAGGCTAATTAGAATTGAAAAGCTCACTCATATTAACCATGAATGTTTCCTCGTGATTGGGGTGGTGATAAAGTCTGCCATATTTGAAATGTTACCTTCTTTCTAAGCATCTCTCAGTGTTATAATGTGAAGTAAGTCAGTAAACATGCTGGGCATGATTGTAGTTCGTGTGAACAGAAGTGTTTAACGTTTCGACATTGTAACAGTGATGTCAGCACACATGTTGGGCAGCATGCGGGCGGGCCACAGATTGAACATCCCTGACATAAGAAGTTATACCAGTTTAACACTTTTTTTCTGTAGTTGAAAATATTTCAACCTTAGTTTTTTATTTTGTTCAATTTCTGCTATATGTGTAGTTTGAAAATTTTCATTTCAGTCAACTTAGTTCAGAAAATGTTAGCTTGAATAGTTAAGATAATGTAGAAAGAGAATAGTTACCTATAAGCATTAACTATAGGTCTGGTTTTGTCTTTAAGATTGAAAGCCTTTCTTCATTTTACTGCATTGATCTAATTTCTGTTTGTCCAATGCCTTTTCAAGGATTCTGTGCCTTATTGTTATCTTTTATGGTGTCCCCAGCTAAATTCCTTGCATTTTCTAGAGGCTTTTCTTGTATTCTGAATCTCCCACTATTTTTATTGTTCACCAACTACTATTTCCACTTAATGATCAAAGGGGCTGTGTTGAAGGGAGCGGGCCCCTTGTTCCATCCTGCCCTGCTAGCTTAAGTCGGTACAGCATGAGACTCTTAATCTCAGGTTTTACATGGAGCTAGTTGAGGTGCCAATCTGTAACAGGAGGAGTGGGCCTGCTTTTCATCCCAGCTGTCCCGCTAGTTTACACCCAAAATAACACACAGAAACTGTATTCCTTTAAACGTTCCCTGGCCCATTAGTTCTAGCCTCTTACTGGCTAACTCTCACATCTTGATTCAACCCATTTCTAATAATCTGTATGTCACCACGAGGTCGTGACTTACCAGGAAATATTCAGCATGTCTGACCTGGCAGCTCCGTGGCAGCTCTCTCTCTGCCCTTCTTCCCAGCATTCAGTTCTGTCTACTCTGCCTACCTAAGTGCTGCCCTATCAAAAGGCCAAGGCAGTTTCTTTATTCAACCAATGAAAGCAACACAGACAGAAGGACCTCCTACACCAGGGTTGCTCCTATCCCCCATTCTGTAGGCAAGCGAGGAGTGCACAGCACAGTGCATGTCCACAGTAACTTCTGATTACCTGTGTATACAGTCCCTTATCTTGTAGTAGGGGCTGGGCTGTGTGTTTGGAAGAGGAAACTTCTAATTGTCTGGATGCCTACTTATGTGTCTATAAATGCACAAATAAGACACAACTGAACCTGATTTATGTTCTGTTTTTAGTTATTATGCTCCACCATGTCTTGTTTGAATAACTTAAATTTTTTAAAAAAAAATTGTTTTCAGCCTCTTGGTGTTCTACTGGCTTTCATTCCATCACTAAAGAATGTGCTATAGTAGTCCTTTGATCAGGAGGGTGTATTTAACTCCTAGTACTTTGCAATATTGTTCACTAGTTGAGGGCTGATCATACCATCTGTATTCCTCCCTTTACACATACAATGGGATTTTGTACAAGGACAGTGTAGTGGAAAGGTATTTGAACCAAAATGTTTTCTTCCTTTGTTTTAAGCTTAGTGCAAATAATTAACTATTTGAAGATCGGTTCTTAATTTTCAGAATTTTAAGTGATCCTTTGTAGTTAAGTGTATTTGTAATTATGTGGCTTCAGTTATATAAAATAGTGGATTTCAAGATGACACTTTTGGTCATATGTTTTGATCATATTCTTGTTGTTACTGTCCTTTCTTTCCCATGACCCCATGGCTTTTGTAGAAGTGTGGGTCTGTCTAAAGACAGGTCCCCAGCCTAGGGCTCAGAAGAGTCTGCCCTAGCATGAACACTGACACAAAGGAAGCCCTCGGTCTCTTTGTCCTAATACCTGGAGAAAGTATCATCTTCCATGGGACAAAAATCATCCAGGCCAATGTGATATTAATAATGGTGATAATGAATCCTTATTGCCTGATTTAAATACTGAAAATTAGAAATAGTGACCTTGAAAATGAATTGAAGCAATAATTTCAGTGAAACATGCCAAAGATAGTAATCAAAGACAGCATATGTTTAAACACATTGGGAACTTGTATTTACTGATTTTCTAGGTTGAAATATTTTAATTAAGGTTATTAAGAGTTGTTTCTTCAATAATTCTGTATATGTGTAGCTTTTGTGGCAAAAAGGAATATTTATGGAAGTGACATCCAAAGCTAATTATTAAAATACCATATAATGAGAAGTCTGGGATAGAGAGGAGGTGGATCCTGGTATGCTGTTCATGTGCTTGTTGGGGGTAGGTAAAAAATGATTAATGATTTCCAAAAATAAGTCTTCAGAATAGTGTGAAATAATAGTGTGAAACATTTGTTGAGAAGAGGATGGAGTTATGCTGAATGCTGTTTCTGGGAGAACAAACAAAACTGAAATGTTCTCTTTGGGGTAGAGGGTAAATCCTAAGACGAAAAGGAACATATATGATGGATGGAGGGTAGATCCTAGGGTAGAAAGAAACACAGAGTTTTCTTTTAGATTGTTTTTATTAAAAAAAATATTCTAAAAAGAGCACCGTGTTTCATGTAATATAAGAGATTCTATATTGACAAAAATCTATATTCCTTTCAGATGGTCCTGCTGATACACCAGTGACCAATGGGAACACAACCACAGTGCCACCCCTGAATGATGATCTGGACATTTTTGGACCAATGATCTCTAATCCTTTACCTGCCACTGTCATGCCCCCAGCTCAGGTATGCAGTGAAGTGTGGTTCTGTGTGACAACTTCAGAAACTGAACTTTGAAATCACTATCCCTAAGCAGTCACTGGCTGAAAGCCTGTTCTTTAGTCAGGGCTGGGAAACTAATCTTGGAGTTTTGTTTTGTTTAAACAGTTGTTTTACTCAAACACCGTCCCTTCTGTTGATGTATAGTTCTCAGCTACTTTGGTGCTAAGCAGCAGAGGCACTTACAGTAGAAACTGACATGACCCATACAGTCAGACTTCACCATCCTTAAAGTTTAACCTTTGTTTTCAGGAAACAACAGTATTTAGAATGCTTATGTGAGGTTGGGAATGAGACAACCTCAACCTGACCTTAAATCACAAGCCAGTGTTATTTTTTTTATTTTTATTTTTTATTGATTTTATTGAGCTATACATTTTTCTCTGCTCCCCTCTCTGCCTCTTCCCTCCCCATCAACCCTCTCCCAAGGTCCCCATGCTCCTAGTTTACTCAGGAGATCTTGTCTTTTTCTACTTCCCATGTAGATTAGATCTATGTAAGTCTCTCTTGAGTCCTCATTGTTATCTAGGTTCTCTGGGATTATGATTTGTAGGCTGGTTTTCTTTGCTTTATGTTTAAAAACCACTTATGAGTGAGTACATGTGATAATTGTCTTTCTGGGTCTGGGTTACCTTACTTAATATGATGTTTTCTAGCTCCATCCATTAGCCTGTAAAATTCAAGATGTCATTATTTTTCTCTGTTGTGTAGTACTCTGTTATGTAAATCTACCACGTTTTCCTTTATCTATTCTTCAGTCGAGGGGCATTTAGGTTGTTTTCAGGTTCTGACAAGCCAGTGCTATTAACATTGTCATTTTATTACATTTTGAATTAAGTTTTAGCAAATTAAATATTCGTTTTCTCTGAAGGTAAATTAGGTTTTAAGTAAGTCTTAAGATGAATCTTGCTGTTTTTTAATGACTAAATAAAAACTTGAAAGAGGCAATAAGATACTTAAAATACTAATGGTGAATAAATTCTGATTTTTTTTTTTGTGGCATTACATAGAGTTTCCTTCAGGTGAAACATTACATTTCAAGGTGCAATTTAAAGTCTCTAACAAGTCTGCAATATTATCATTCTCTCCTACATTGGAACACTACAAATAAGCAGCCAGTATGTTTTCTGAAAAGTATTTGAGATGCAATACTCCTTTTCTGTGGGAATATGTAAAGGTTTTAATAACAAGTCTATATCACATTGAGACTAATAATGATTTATTCTACATATTTTTATGAAAATTATTGTGTTCGTGCCTTGAATTTGAAAAGTAAATCTTTTGGGAATTAATTAGACTAAAATGAGTCAACAAATTTGAGTGTAGCAAAAGTATGTATTTCAGGAAAGGTAGCTAGCATATTGTGGTTTGGCCCTTTTAGTCCCTATTGCAGCTCATGTCAGAGCAGGGACTTTGGGGTCTGGGAAGATGGTTCGTTCGGTAAAATGCGTGATGTGCAAGCATGAGGTCATGAGTTCAGATCCCTAGCACCCACATACAAAGTTGAGCACAGCAGCATGTGTCTAACCCCAGTGCTAGGGGTGGTAGGGAGATGGGTAGATTCCTAAAGCTTCATTGATTGGCCAGCCAGTTGGTAATCAAGTTCTAACTTTTATGCTTATCAAGTTGTAGCCCGATGGTAAGCCTCAAAGACTAACCTTTATGCTTTGTGCATTCTGATTAGTACATTTTCAAAATATTGCCTTTGCCAGTAAAGAGTATCTTAGAAGTGTGTGTTCATATGAATGCTGAAACTTTGAAGGTTGTTGATTCTTGTGGGCATTTAGTATATGAAATTGAGCTGTAATTGGGTTCAAGTACCAAGATCATGAATTGCTCTGAACCTTATTTGACTTTTGGTGTTTTCTAAGCATGTGTAAATTCTAATGAAAGATCTGCCCGTGTGTAAATATAAAATAGCCTAGGTTTACCATCTGCCTGGAAATAGCTGAGTGACAAGAATGTACACGTATGGGGGTAGGGGGAGATGGACACATGGGAGGGGGGAGAGATTATGAATATATGAGAATGCATATGTAGACATGCCGATAACTGCCTTTGGTTTAGTCCCTGGGATTTCCAAAAGGCCAGAAAGCGAACAGGCAAACATGGTTTCCTTTCTCCCTGGTGGTAAAATGGTGGCAAATGCAAGCCCAGTAGATAAGCAGACTTCAGGTGCTTGCTAGCTGTGCCACTTAGACTGGCCAGTTTTAGCTGGTGTCTCTGTTGTGGTCGATAGTCATACTTCCTCACATGAAGTATTTAGATCATGAGAATGTTCGTTAGACTGCTCTATAGTAAGACCAAAATTTGTGTTTCCCCAACCATTTGGAAATCTTTTCATGTTGAAATCTCATTCATCAAGAATGGATCCCAAGGGGTTGAGTAGATTCCTGTGTTGCACGTAGGTGAAACATGATGAAAGGATCATTTAGTGGTGTCATTTTGTTTTCAGTGTTAATAATAAATAGTAAGTACTTAACTTTGTGTAAGGCCCTGGGGTTACAAAGCCTGTTTTCATTTTCATTGGACAGAAGTCAGTTGGCATACAGATGTAAGGTCACCTATCTCAACACTCGGGTAGGGTAGTGATCCAGTCCAGCTTGGAACCATTTATTGGACTCTGTGGTCCTAAGATATAATTCATTGGTAACTAAGATATAGTCAGATTAAAAGACACTATTTTGGTATTCTCTCATGTCTAATTTCTTACACATTTTAGAGTTTTTGCAAAATAAGATAGTCTTTTCTATGTCTCTTATAAGTCTTGCTAAATTAGTCATAATGGGTTCAAAATATGGCTCTGCTTAACTAAGTTTGAATAAAATGCTTTGACAGTAATTTCCTGCATAGTGCTCTATCCAGGACAGTAAATATGTAACTTTAACCTCCATTGCTACTCACCTCAATCTGTAGTTTGAGAAGAATGTGAGCCAGCATTTACGAGTCTTCAGAGAATTTTTAATTTTTTCATATTTAAAACTAATCATTAAGGAAGACTGTCATTACACAATCATATCCTTGTATAAGTAGATTAAGGGGAAGCTTGTTTTGTATTAAATGTCTAAATTACTTGTGTTGATTTGCTTATGGTTGAATATAGGTAGCTAAGTTTTTCTGTATTTCACTTCTGGATTTGAAGCATTCTAGTATTGTTAAAATAGACCTAGAACAAGTGCATAAACATTCTTCGGTGTAGTTTTTGAAAAAGTAAAAGTGTTTAATCTGCTATTATAGAACCTTTTGGTTCTGCAAGTGGCAACATTCTTTATTAGAAGTGACACTAATTCTTGAGAGAAGTTGTGTCCGTCTTCACACTGTTCCTGCATGTTTCCAGACTCAGTGTGCTCAAGATGTGATGGGCAAAACTGCTTTGCTCAGCTGCTGCATATGGCCAGAAAAGAGCTCCAGTCTCCTTGTTTACGCTAACACTGCGCCTTCACTCGAGATGCTCGTGTGTGGACTCAAAACTGATCTCATTAGATGTCACCATTAGATGTGCTGTTTAGAAATTAACTATTTATTTTGGTGTTTTGCCCAGGGGACAGCCTCTGTACCAGCAGCTGCTACCCTGTCTACTGTAACATCTGGGGATCTGGATCTGTTCACTGAGCAGACTACAAAGTCAGAAGAAGTAGCAAAGAAACAACTCTCCAAAGACTCCATCTTATCTCTCTATGGAACAGGAACACAGCAAAGCACTCCTGGTAATTGATGTTGAACTTTATTTCCAGTGAATGACAGTGGTATTATAGAGTACATCCTTTGAAACTGTAATGGCAGTTGCGTTTTCCTGTGGCAGGGGATATTTCTCTACTTAACTGAAATGAATGAAGGATTAGAATTAAACAATATAGGATTCACAAACTTTATTCATTTGAAACTTGACAAGTTGGTCACATATCACTTAATATTGTTCCACAAGTTTATAGGACATGAATTATCTTTGAAGAATTACTGGTATTTTATTTACATAAAGTTTGGCTTTGTGTACACTTTTCTCTGCAGGCAAACAAATAAGCAGTCAGAGTTATACATAAATATATATAATTATGCAAAATTTGGAAATGCCTTGTCATTATAGTAAAATATTAGCATACAATTTATTCAGTTTTAATTCATCAGATCCTTTCCTTCAAAATAAGCTCATCTCATATATAGACTGAAACTGTGTGGCCACCCACGTACTTCCTCATAAAAGCAAATAATCACCGCACTACCCGCCTGGTTGGTTTATGAGAGAGCAGTGGTGTGCGTCATCAGGAGTAGCATGTACTCTCAGGCTGTGCATCACTTTCACATAGTCAGAACATCTGTCTGCATTATGGAAATAACAGACTCTCAAGGTGGAGGTGTGGGTTGTTTAGAGATTTGTTCTGAGAGTCAGGAAGTTACCCTCTTTTCTGTATCTGGAGATGAGTGCAGCCATATAAAAGAGCCTCTTGTTTTGTTTGTTGGTTTCTTTTTTAAAATTTGTGGTTTTTTACAATACAGGTGTGTTTATGGGACCCACAAATATGCCATTTACCTCACAAGCAGCAACTACATTTCAAGGTTTTCCTTCCATGGGCGTGCCAGTGCCTGCAGCTCCCGGTCTTATAGGAAATATGATGGGACAGAATACAAGCATGATGGTGGGCATGCCCATGCCCAATGGGTTTATGGGAAACACACAGACTGGAGTGATGCCACTTCCTCAGAATGTTGTTGGCCCTCAAGGAGGAATGGTGGGACAGATGGGTGCACCACAAAGTAAGTTTGGCCTGCCACAAGCTCAGCAGCCTCAGTGGAACCTTTCACAGGTAGGGCTCATAAACTACCATCTCAAAGTCCAAGAAACCATGTGTATATTCTGAGTAGTTTGTTTGAAATCTAATGATGTAGCAAAAGAATTGAATAAAGATAAGTTTGATCAGATCCAAATGTTTATAGATGTCATGAGGTTTTATCAGATAGATAAATGACTCACTATCACTACCACCATCCTTATTTTAAGAATATTCTGTAAATAAGTGTTAGGATTTTCCTTTTCCCATTTTGGCCTGTAACAGAGTTATAATAGTGAACATGCCTAATCTACCATTACCAGCTAGAAGTTATCTTTGGCAGCATACAAGAGACACCGCACTCTGATATCTGCCACCTGTCAGGCTTGGTACCAGCTTTACTCAGCTCCTGGGTGGGGTCTTTTAGTCGTCCACCTAGGCCAGTCTGTCTTCACTAGTAAGCGTGGATCATTTTTGGTTAGCTCTTACCAATGAGAAAGAAATCCAGCTTCATATTCTCAAAGTACAGTTTTATGAAGGATCAAAGCTGTCTCTGTCATATGGTTACTGCTTATGGATTTATGAGGAGCATCCATTGGCTCGAGAGTACCTATGATAATAAAAACTCTGCTTGCCTCAGGTATCACTGACAAATTCCATGTCTCTCTGGGATAGTTTAAGTCAAGGAGTACCATTTCTGAATTAAATGCTCTTCTGACTTCTCTGCAGCCTTCAGAGGCTTTTGAGTTAAATGTTCTGGTTCTCATTCCCTTTCCTGCATCTTAGTGTCTTGGTTCCTGTAAGACCAGCAGCTTTACCTTCAGAACATTGATTTCTAACAAACATTAGAAAAATCACCAAATATCTTAGAATTGTGGTTTACAGGAGTACATAAAGCTCATGTGTGCGCACTGCAAGCCTTGAAACTTGTAAGTGCTGGCCGGGCGTTAGTAATCGCTGTTCTGTTGCCAAGATGCTGAAGTTCACTCAGCTCAGGTTAAATTACAGTGAGCCAGTGAAAAATCGCAGCCCTTGTCAGCAAGGCCATGATAGTGTCTGTGAGCAGAAGTGAAGATGTGATCTGCCTGCCTTAAGACACATTGGAACACTGGTGTGGTTATTGTGTCTTACAAAAACCCTGCAAAAAGAACAAAAGATAACAGTGATCATAGATTTGGAACTGTATTGTGGAAAATCCTACCTTGCCTGCTCTGTCATCAACCTTCGTAGTGAGAGAACCACTGGGCTAGATAAGAGGCAGATAAATATACTGGACTCTAGCCTGGAAGAAAATTACATGTAATCTTTTATTTTATAGGATATAAAATTTAATTTTAGCTGTTAAAACACATGCTATGACATTTTTAGTGTGAAAGTGTATTAAATCCACTTAGCATGCTAATAGAGAATACAGGTATTTTGTAAATGTTAGGATAATTTTAGGATGTTTTAATTTCTCAAATTTCTCCGTTCAGGAAATACTCTCATAGTTGAAAGAGTCCATTGACTTATATACTCAGAAACAAATTAGAGGATTACTTTGGTATTCTTTTCAATTGCTGTTAATCTTTGGGATAAAAATTTAAATACAGAAAGTGAACTAAGTATGGATTACTTCATAAGCAGTGCTTAAACACATAAGCAGTGCTTAAACACAGGAAAAAATAAAGAACAAGGTTATTCTTGAATCAGTAGAGAGATATTTGGGCATGGTCTACTTTACTTCTGTGTTTTGACTAAATTTTACATTAATGATGAAAAGTTTGGTTGTAGCTAAAGAATTAAGAATGAAAAGTGAGTAATCCTTGTCAACTAAGCTTTTTATATGTTTCACAGATGAATCAGCAAATGGCCGGCATGAGTCTCAGTAGTGCAAACCCTACTACAGGTTTTGGCCAGCCCCCCAGCACCACAGCAGGGTGGTCGGGCAGCTCATCGGGGCAGACTCTGAGCACACAACTGTGGAAGTGAAAAGCTGCAACAGAGTTTCATCCAAATCCAACACCCGACATTCCTCGCTGCAAAGGCATCTAGTTCCCGTTTATTCATGTACATATGTATTTTCCTTTCCCCCATTTGTTCACATGAAGAATTACCTGATTGACCTTGTTGGTCTGTGCTGATTAAATCTGATGTGAAAGCAGGTTGAGAAACCATCTTCTGTGGAGGGCAGCTTTGCTCATATTTCCCATGATGTCATAGCCACATTGAGAAGCTGCTCAGTTAACTTGCATAATCGGTTTTATTCTCAAAATTATAGCTCTAATGTTTGCATATAAGGGAAGTAGTTATCATGTTAGTAATACTTCTAACAGTATAAACCCCACCCCCAAATTAGCCAGTAATCCTGTAGGAAGGTACTGTATGATCAAATGTTTAATCATATAAATAGAACGTAAATGTATCACTGAGCACTGTTTTCTAGTGTATCAAATTCTTTTACTCATCACTCACTTCACTGTGCTGTTGTTTCGATGTGCTTAACAGGGAACGTGATTAGTGAAAGGAAGATAAACCTGGATGTTACTGTAAAACTTAGTGTTTCAAGAATTCAAATTTTCGCTGCCTCTTGTAATTTGGACCTCTTCTCATGTACATAGTGCTAATAAGAAGACCCTTTTTCTGCACTATATGCACACAGGGTAACTAAAACAAAGCCACTTTTAATCCTTGAAGGTATATCCAGGTTTATGACAGTTATTGTGTTTACATTTTATGGTGCCTAGTATTGACAAAATGTTATTTCCCTATATTAAACAGATGAATCCACACTTTTCTATTTGTGGGTTTTATTTCCTTCAGTGTACAATGCCAAGAGTTGGGACTGTTTAGTTGACAAAATACTCATGGATCAGGTTCTAAGACCTATTCCATCAATTATGAGATGGCTTGAGGAAGGGAGGGAGCAGCAGGACAGGAGATACTCAGAATTTTCCCCAGTGTCCTGTAGCTTCAGTGTACAAATATCTTCCCAATTAGCTTTAGAGAACACATGCAGAACAAATGAAGACAACACATTTTGTAGCATCCAGTTAGCTGTCTAAACAGATGTCCATCGGCTGACAGGAAGGGCTGAAGGAAAGGAACAATACCTGAATGAGCTGCAGCCTAAATTCCAGACTTCCTCTTCTACACCTGTGTCTTGGCGTCTACACCTCAATGTTCACTGTGTCCAGGTGGTACTTTGGCTCATTGGCTAGATTGACCTTCTCTGTCCGAGTGTGCCACACGAGAACCTACAGGGGAAGGGGATATTTTAAGCTGCAGAACTATCGACACTTGCTGTCCCACCACATGAAGGAGATGATAAGTACCTTGGTGCAGTTACTAGCTTTTGGTTCCAATTCTTCAACTGTTGTTATCTGCTTTAGAAAGTCAGATTCTTGCATGCCTGGCTGGGATCCACGGCGCTTAAATACAGCTTTAGGATTGGACAAGATGACTTGCAGACTCACGGCAAATCCTTTGTATTAAAGAAAAAGAATTACTGTTGTACTTTTTCCCATTGTAATTGTGGCTACGTCAAAAAGTACAAGATAACTATTATATGGTTAGATTTTGGTATTCAAACTTGAATAGGAGCATTGCTTGCTTACATTCTCAAAGAAAAATTAGTCACTGTGACTTTGTACACTCTGAGGATACCTACCTCAATATGAGTTCAAATCTGTTGATAATAAAAAGTAAATTCAGAAGCTGCTATCCTCAGAGAGGTCACCACGGCACCACATTTGATGCTCTGCATTATTGAGCTGAGGCGTTTCAGAAAGATGTCTCAACTATCCTTGAGGTGTTGGAGTGCTGGCCCAGCCTTCCTGCTTGCTTTTGACATCATTAATGTGCTTTATCATCACGGTCAGCACTGTTCCAAATGACTTGACATTGAGAAGATCAGAGATAGAGGTACTATGGTCATACAAAACGTAAGTATTACCTAACTTATAATCATTAGTTTTGCTCTTAAGCATGAAGGAAGTGAGCTTAGAAATCAGAACAGGCACTATTAAGTCATTTGGTAAATTTGGTTTTTGTATTTGAGTGTTTGTTTAAAAAGGATATTGCTTAATGGTAGAGCACTGGCCTCACATGTGTTGAAGCCCTGAGTTCAGCCTTCAGTGCTGCAAAGACAAAGAAGTATGAACTCCCTCCAGTGATTTGTTTATATGACAGAACTGTTAGGATTTAACCTGCTTTAATACATTCCTAATGCACGCCACAGCCAGCCACACATGTTTTAGAAGTCTGAAGCCCGTGACACAGAACTCAATGCCCTCCAGGAGCTGATGGGTTGAGAGCCAAGCCAGGGATGTCTCCATAGATAACTTTATGTCCTCTTTTCGGCAGTGGATTTCTGCTGCACAGAGCCAGGCCACATCCTGTCACGTGACTGACAGTAGTGGAAGAGCTGCGAGAAGACCACGCCCATCACCTCCAGGTGCCTGACTGGTCAGTCCTGCACCCTGAACCCTGCTGCTTCTTAGAAATAGTTAACTCTTAGCCACGCACAAACAGATGTGGTCTAGGAAGTGCTGAGTGAAGCAAAGTTTAACAAATCAGAAAACAACCCAGAACTCATAGAATGCCCTTCAGAATCCAGTGTCCTCCACCAGATAGAAATACACCGTGCATGCTGTCTAGTAAGCAACACGAAATTTGGAATCCAGCCTTTTGGTTTTCACTAACTAGGTTCTTCCATTTGGCACACTGGCCAAGTCACTTCACCTTTGTTAACTGTATAATGTCCCCATTTCTGCAAGGGAAATATGAAAGCTCAACCTTGGTATTAGTGTAGGGTAAAGATCCTCCTGATGCAGAGGACTGCAGTGTGCAAACAGAAGTGTCACTGTGAAAAGTACCGAGGGCTGGGTAGAACCAGCCACCACTCAGAGCTGCGGAAATCAGAGTAGACAGGTGAAGGGCTTGTGACAGTTCTGGGGCACAGAGCCAGGCCACATCCTGTCACGTGACTGACAAGACATCTCAATCTTCATCAGATACAGCTAGGTCAGCACAAGACTTGAGCAACACAACCAAAGCGTGAAGTTAATAAAGTGCCTTTTCTCGAGACCAAGTCAGATTGATGTTAATGGTTTTTTGCTGTCTTTCATGTGCTTCATCCTTTAAATGGAAGTCTGTCCTCACGCATACTGCTGTTTCTTTATATGGTTTCAAAGCACTGATTTTTATATCCCTATTTTCATATGCACACACAATGAGCCAAATTATGCATAAGTAATTCTGAAAATATGGAACCATTTAGGTCTGATTTCCTTCATTGTCCCCTAAGATGTTAAACTCATCATCTGCAGCCCTGAAAGATTCAGATTAAGTAACTATTTTCTGCACTTCCCTGGTTCAGGAATATCTTGTAGCAGTGTAGAGCTACTTGGTAAAATGAAGCACAGGTCACAGCTAGTCCTGAAGCCACCACTGTTTCTGCTGGGTACCCTCTTGTTCTCACTGGAGAATGAGAGAGACCTGAACAGCAGTACTCTCAAAGACCTTAGGGAGTGGCTTGGTCCGGGAACAAAACAACCTCCTTTCTAACAAAGGGGCCAGAGGGAGAGAGAACATAATCCAGATGTTCTTCATTCATTTACCTCAGCTGGCTCTGCCCATTCTCCACTCAGGAAGCAGGTCGCAGCCAGCAAGCAGTCATCATCAGGGAAGTAAGCCAAACTGAATTGCTTCAGGGAAACCCACTGCCCGGATGAGATGCCAGGGAGAAGCTAAAGTGGTCTCCCTTGGAAATGGGCCGAACTTTTAGCTCCTGACCATTGATGTTCAGTCTATATGGGTGTCTTGGGTTTTCTTCAGTTTTGCTCAGATTCGTGCCTCAAACATGTTTATCTTCAGAGACTGGTTTAGCTTTAGAGGTACTGCTCTGTGTTTGCAGGTATTAGGGTCCTGACAGAAACCATAGGAGTAGGGTTTTCTGTCTGGGTTAGTTACAGAACAATGTGCTATGCCAGCGAAAAATGACGATTTGCTGTGTATGTTGGGCTTCTTAACATCCAACGATAGGGAGGAAGAACATATATTCCCTAATAGGCAGAGGGAAGGGCTTGCCTCAATAGACTACATGCTTACTGAATGCTGGCTGGAAACAAGGTGGAACCTTAGTATCCAATCTATTTAATTTTTGGATAAAATAAAACCACAGGGGAATTGGAGAATAGATGCCTCATTGGCTAAGAACAGTTGGTCTTTTAGGGGATCCACATTCAGTTGCCAGCACTCACATGGGATCAAAACCATCTGTCGGTCTGGTGTCAAGGCTCCCACACCCTCTGATTTCTGCAGGCACCAGACATGCACACGTGTTCACATACATACATGCAGGCTTAGTTTTTTTTTTAAGCCAAAGGATTACATAAACAAGGAAAGTATTCAGACATTGGGAGTGAAACACATATGTTACAGCTCTCAGAAAATAGATAAATGTTAGCCCTAAAACTGCCAAAGCTTCTCTGAAGAGGCCACTCCACAGGCAAGGAATCCCCAAACTCTACAGTCTGCTTTAGTGGACGACTTAGAGCTTGAAGAAGCCATAGCAGATATCTGCAGAGCCAAACGCTGTGCTAGTGGTTAGAGGTTGTTCTCAGACCTTCAATGTGATCAGCTGATGCCTGCAAAAGTCCCCAGGCCAAGTAGAGGTCTAGAAAGGAGCAGGTGGATCAGTTATAGTGACTCACTTAGCCAGGTAACAGTTGCATTCTCAGCAAGAGCACAGCATCCTAATAGTACCTTACCTGCAGCACCTGCATGGAACATGGAGATGGCTGGCTAGTGCAGGGTCACATTAGCTCTGAAAGCTCAGATGCTCCTGCCTAAATTTAAAAACAAGTCTTGAAGAGATAAAAGTGCCTCCAAATAACTTGATCATGTCCCAGTACAAAGTTCAAAAATATGTACATATTTATAATGCAGCATATGTTATGTGTATATGCTCATACTACATATATATGTATATCAATATTACCCAACAATTTGAAATTCAAAATGTCTCAGAACCGCTCTTTCTGTCTCTTTTGAAGAGGTAGCTACTGTTTCTCCCTCCCCCCTTTACCCCTCCTTCCCTCCCTCCCTCCCTCCCTCCCTCTCATCTTCCCCCTTCTACCCTTTTTCCTTCATAACCCACTAAACTTGTCTCTGAAAATAAAAAAAGGTCTCAGAACCAAAACTTCCTGGTGTACAAAGAAGCAGGAAAATGACATAACCAAAGAAATAAATCCAGAAATGATAAAGATGATCGAATTATAGAGTATAATGAATATGCTCATTATATTATAAATGTTTTCATATTCAAGAAAACTGAAGAGATGGGAGAGATAAGAAAGGGCCAAGGTCTTCTTAGTAATAAAAATACAAGAAGATGTAAAGTGTCCTGGGTAGAATTAACATGAGATATTAAAGAATAAAAGATCAGTAAAGAACAAATAACAAAAAAATAGAATAAAATAAAAATAAGACTAGTGTTTTGAGCATTGGAATGAAACATGAGAGGAAGACAAAAATAGATGAAGAAATGATGACTGTTTCCAGCCTTCAGTGAAGTTATGTAAAGCCTGAGTCACCCTGTCAGACAATGTAACCTAAATGAAGACCGCTCCAACCATAATAGCACTTTACCCAATCTTCACACGTGAATGTTCTCAAATCACAGAAGTCATAAACCAATTCCCCCCAAAACTTAGAACAATTCAAGTTACATAAAGTATGCTGTCTCTAATGTGATAGAATTGAAAAGAATAACAAACCTAAGTTTCAAATATTTGGAAACTGTTGGTAAATTACAGGTCACATAAATCAAGGGAAATGAGAACAAAACATGAAAGTCTGAATCTAATATAGTACACGGGAAATTATTGTGGCACACATGTGTGAACATGTGTGGGAGGTAGAACTGTGTATACGGGTGTGGAGGTCAGAGGAAAATGTTGGGGAACAGAGTCTCTCACTGAACCTGGAGTCGACCAACTGGCTAACTGGTTGGCTGCAAACCCATCAGATCCTCCTGTTTCACCTCCCTCCTGTCTTGGACTTCTAGGCATGTGCCACCACATACAGCTGCTTACACAGATGCTAAGGATCCAAACTCCAGCCCCTGTGCCTGTGCAGTGAGTACTTGACTCATTGAGCCATTACCATCCCAATTCCAAAAATCATTTTTTAAATACAAGGCATCACTGTGCTGTCCAGATGCTCCAATAGACTAGTTTGAGACTTCCTGCCTTAGCCTTCTAAGTAGCTAAAACTATATCGAACATTCCGCCAAGCAACAAATATAATTTTCAAAAATATCTTTAGATGCTAAACTAGAAAGATGAGGTCCCACTTTTAGAAAACTACAAAACAAAACCCAAGTCCTGAAGTACTATTAATGTAACAGCAGAAATCAGGAATAGAAAAATGTGCAATAAAGTCCGCTTCTTTGGGAGAAGAAAACTTGACTGTGGTGGT